TGAATCCATCCTCTTTATTGATTCTTGATTTTGTTTCTTGCGCTTTACGAGTCTTGTTAAGGAAGTCAGATCCTAGGCCACATGGTGAAGATTTGGGCCTTTTTCTCCTGTTAGGCACAGGGTCTCTATTCTAGTGCCTAAGTGTTTGATCCACTTGAGTTGAGTTTCATGCAGGGTGAGAGAGAGGGGTTTAATTTCATTTTGTTACATGTGATTTCCAATTTTCTTAGCACCATTTTTTGAAGAGGCTATCTTTTCTCCAGTGAATGTTTTTGACACTTTTGTCTAGTATGAGATAACTGTATTTTTTTAAAGTATTTTGGATTGTAGATGGACACAATACTTTTATTTACTTATTTTTATGTTGTGCTGAGGATCAAACCCAGTGCCTTACATGTGCTAGGCAAGCGCTCTACCACTGAGCTACAACACCAGCCCACTTAAAGATTATTCTTGAGGCTGAAAGAGATCCCAGATAGAAGTTAGGAGATTTAAAAAAAAAATTAAAGAGCCAAGTGGGCACAGTGGTGCAAACCTATAATTCCAGTAGCTCAGGTGGCTGACCCAGGAGGATTGCAAATTCAAGGCCAGCCTCAACAGCTTAGTGAGGCCCTAAGCAACTTAGTGAGATCCTTAAGAGGAGAAGAAGGAAGGAGAGGAGGAGGAAGAGAAGGAAGGAGAGGAGGAGGAAGAGGAGGAAGAGAAGGAAGAAGAGGAGGAAGTGGAAGAGAGAAGGAGAAAGATTAAAAGGAAGAAGAAGAGGAAGAAGAATCCTTAATAATGATAAAAGGGTTCAGGGGCTGGGTATGTAGTTCAATGATAGAGTACTTGTCTACCATGCATGAGGCCCTGGGTTTGATCTCCTGCACTATGAAGGGGGGAAAAAAGTGTGTGTGTAGGTGCTCAATTCATAAGAAAATTTAACAGTTCTACTTTTGTATGCATATAATAATAAAGTCTCAAAATACATAAAACAAAAACTGACAGTTAAAAAGAATAAAAGCATCCATAATCATAATAGAAAATTTTAACTTGCCTTTCTTAGTATTTGTTAAAATAGGCAGAAAAAATTCAATAGCATTATAAAAAAATTTGAACTACATGAACATTGTGCCCAATAACTATATAGTTATATATTACACACTATTTTTACACACAGGTGGAAAACTTTTAAAAATTAACCAATATACTAGACCACAAATCAAATTGATGATTTGTGTGTGTGTAGGGGTACTAAAGACTGAACTCAGGGAGGGGTGCACTACCACTGAGCTATATCCTCAACTGTTTTTATTTTTTACTTTGAGTCAGGGTCTTGTTAGGTTGCTTAGGGCCTTGCTTAATTGCTGAGGGTGACATCAAACTTGTGAATCTTCTGCCCCAATCTCTCGAGTTGTTGGGATTATAGGCATATATCATCTTGCCAGGCTCAGAATGTATTTTTTAAATAAAATCATATGGAGCATAGTCTCTGAACTCAATACTATTAAACTACATAACCATAACAACTAGAAAATTCTCAAATTCTTGAAAATTAAGAAACATTTCTAAATAACACATGGGTCAAAAAAGAAATCATAATGGAAATTACATAAATTTTAAACTGAATAATGATGAAACTACTAGGTATTCAAACAGGTACAATATAGCTAGTACATGCTTATAGAAAAATGTCTAGCTGTAAAGAAACATCAGAAAAGTGGAAAGGATAAAAAAAAAAACCCACAAGCTTAGCATTCATTTTACAAAGCTTAAAATTTCAGTGAATTTAGTCAGACGTGTTGGTGCATGCCTGTAATTTCAGCTACTTGGAAGATGGTAAGTTTGAGGCCAGCCAAGGGCAGTTTAGCAAGACTCTATCTCAATAAAGTTAAAAAAAATTTTTTTTAAAGTGGCTTAGGATGTATCTCAGTGATAGAAAGTTTACCTAGCATTCATGAAACCCGGGATTCAATTCCAAATAACTTAATAGATGCACTCACTCAGTAAATTAAACTTAAAGAAAGTAGTAGGAGGAAAATAAAAATATGAACAAAAACTAAAAATAGGAAATAAACATAATAGTGAAAATCTAAAATAGGGATTTAAGATAAAGAGTGAAATATACTCAGTTTTATAGCCTTTTTATAAGTACTGGGTCCCAACCCAAGGAAGGACTTCTCTTGATAGCCGACATTCTTCCTTGAATGTGTATCTGCTTCCTAAAAGACCTGTGTCTATGCCTTTGTTTGCCTCATGTTGTAATTCTTTTCCATCATGTATACCAAAAACCCCACTGACCTTGGGTTGAAATCCTCCTCCCCTCTGGGAATTCCTCAGACCTTTCTTCAGAGACATCTCATTTCTAATGACAAATCCACAAACCTAAATCAATTTTTTGAAAAGATAGATAAAATCAATACGCCCTTGAAGTGAAAAAAAAATCTACATTTACTAAAATTGCAAGAGGATATTATACTTTATGCAGTTTTTAAAAAAAATTATAAGACTGTGCCTGCATGCCCAACTTGACTATTATTTTTGCTGATTGCATTTATGCTACCAGATCTACTTATGTGTCTGGTTTGATATAATTTCTTTGCTAGATAGTATTTGCAAAATTGTTAATAGAATAATTTAGAAGTCTAGAACAATGATGTCTTCCATTACAGAAAACTTATATTTATTTATAATAGGTTTCTGTGCACACTAGTGGTTGAGATCACCTCAGTTTAGTTTAAGGACTGAAAATGTTCAAAGCTTAGAAGCAGTCCTTTAAAAGGATATTTACTTCTAATTCAACCTATTCTTGTGTTATGGTCCTTTGTTTTTTCTTTCAAAGTGGGGGATCCACTTTGGGTGGGCTCTGGACTCTAATCCTAATCTGCCTGTTTATCTAAATGGGCTAAACCACTTCCCCTGAAGATTTGGAAAATGTCCCTAAGGGTGTGATAAGCATCCCCAAATGTTGACTTTATTTCTGTTTCCATCTTCCCCCCAGTATACAGCCTGAAAATTTTTCACTAACTGGTCACCCCCCTCTGCACCTTTAAGCAGATGTCTTTATTTTATTTTTATCTTATTTTTTTAAAGAGAGAGTGAGAGAGGGGGGAGAGAGAGAGAGAGAGAGAGAGAGAGAGAGAGAGAATGAATTATTTTTTAATATTTATTTTTTAGTTCTCGGCAGACACAACATCTTTGTTGGTATGTGGTGCTGAGGATCGAACCTGGGCCGCACGTATGCCAGGCGAGCACGCTACTGCTTGAGCCACATCCCCAGCCCTGTCTTTATTTTTTATACAGCTTTTTCTAGAAGTCTTTAGTAGTCTGTATTATCTAATTTGCCATTATCAAAAGTAGAATGTCTCCTTACTGTTAAAAATTGTAAACTCTTATCATGAAAAATTTTGAATATATGCAGAGTTAGACACTCTTCACACTTGTATAATGAACCCCATGTGCTTGTTATTCAGTCATAATACCATTAACTCTTGGCGGCTCCTGACTTATCTACATTCCCATTCACTTCCATCATCCTTTATTATTTTTAGGCACATTCCAGATGTCACATCAGTCTAACTATAAACATTTTAGTATGTAATGCTGAAAGATAAGGCCTGTTTTTTAAAAAATATAACCACAAAACTATTATCACATTGAAATATGGAGAATTCCTTAATATAGTAAATCCAGTTCCCATTTAAATTACTTTGTTAATTTTTGGTGTAACTATATTTAGTAGCAGGCCTATGAAGTTATTTTGCTCAGAAATTGTAATACAGAATATAGAGATTCTCTAGAAGGGTTGTAAAAAGGCCCTTTGTGACTTGGTCAATACCAGCCATAAAGATGTATTTACATACTTTAGGTTTCTTTTCTCCTGTGTAAAGCCTACCCATTCTATAGTGGCTCAATTCAGTGGAGCTTTCCCTGAACAGTGCTCTGATTTCCTTAGTGTTTAGTTTATTTCTGTGGCACTTGTCTGTACTCTCTTGTGTAAACAATAAATCTCCTCATGATTGTAAACTGCAGAGGTGTGAAGAATACAAGTGTGTGCATCATATATTTTATGTGCCAAACCATGTCTGCCACCTTGTGGGCATAATAGCATGGGCCCATCTCAGGAATCCTGAGGGTCAAATGAGGTAATATATGAACATTTTGTGTAACTGTTGAACCCGGATGCAAAGAAAAGACCATTGACTCCAATTTTAAATCAAATTAAAGCTAGCTTGTATTTGGGTACACCGAGCTGGCCAGAACTGTCTCTCCTGAAAACCCTGGGCTAGAGATCAGTACCCCAGCTTTCCAGGAACACAATTTTATAGCACAAAAAGTTGCAAAGGGGGTTGTCTTGAGAACTTACAGATAACAGGATTTTGACAAGCATAATACAAAGGCAGATAACAGGTTAATGATTACATGACATGATATTTTAAGGTAGGGTGTAAATTCAGATCCCAACATCAGAATTTATGAGGCACTGCTGAGGTTTCAGAGAGGGTTGTTATCTGGTTAGGGGGAGACAGGATTTATGAGGTGCCACTAAGGTTTTAGAGAGAGTTGTTATCTGTCAGGGAAAACCAGGCATTGGTAAGTTCAGGGCATAGGCAGGAATTCCAAACAAGTTTAGAAATCACAGTAATTTATAGTAAAACAGAAATTAACTTTTCATGACTTTGTGATGAGATGGCTCCCAATCTTAAAATGGAATTAGGCTGGGCTCATCATAATCTGCATAACAAAATTTTAAGAAATTGTTAGCATAGTTGTTACATGAATTCTAAATCATAATCTCTATGAAGGAAAAAACCTATTCAGAGCCCATCACCGTGTATGTAACAGTAGGTTTCCATTAAGTATTTGTTGATTCATTATCTGAATGAAGTTAGTTATTTCCTCATTCTTTTTTATCAAATGATATAAAAAGTGAATGATAAAGTTAAAGACCTACATGAAAAGGTTAAACTTTATCAAAAAATTTATTTTTATTTTTTTTCTCCCCCTCACAAATATGAAAGGTCTGTCTCAACATGTAGTTACCAACTATAAGCAAGTAATTCAACTCTTGGAGGAGGGAATAGCAAACAGGTAACAGGTTTGTTTGTTCCCATCATTCTTTTCACCTCATTCCCCTGCTCTGTGTTCTAGTCCCCTTTGGAGTGCATGACAACACTTACACTGTCTCTGTCTGCAGCTCCCTACTCTACAACCAGGAGAACCTTCTCAGAATAGTAGTGTACCCAGGGGAAGGGGCAATCACTAAGATTTAGTGCTTTTTCTCACTACAAACAAAATGAAGTTTGTCCGGATTTAATAATATTAGGCAGTAAACCCAGAGATTTACTGGTATACTTTTGTTCTAAAATATACCACTTTTACCCTGGGCTGGTGGTTCATGCCTGTAATCCCAGTGGCTCCGGAGGCTGAGGCAGGAGGATCATGAGTTCAAAGATAGCCTCAGCAAAAAGCAAGGTGCTAAGGAACTAACTGAGACCCTGTCTCTAAATAAAATACAAAAGAGGGCTGGGGATGTGGCTCAGTGGTTAAGTGCCCCAGGGTTCAATCCCCAGTAGCAAAAATAAAATAAATAAATGGGTTTGTCTTAGGGGTACTTTTCCAGATTGATTGCACTCTAATATTCCCCTTTTTACTCTGATTTTTGCTTTATCACTTTTTAGAAATGTTTTATTGTCGGTTAATATGAAACTATTCTTCCATTTATTCTCACATATCAGCACCTAGAGTGCTGCTTCTGCCCTCTTTGGACCTTTTTCTAACTGTATTAGACTTCATATGAAGTTTTATGATTCTCATCTGTGATCTTCAGTACTAACATTTCTTGTGTTCCCCATGGATCTTTTAGGGTCCACCATGCGTAAAAATTTCTTATACTGTCTTCTCTTATGAACACAGAATCACAGCAGCCACCCATGTTCACGAGGCCAGCAGCAGATCCCATGCCATCTTCACTATCCACTACACTCAGGTTGGTTACTCCTCAAATTTGGTGAGCTTTCTTCTTTTTCTTGTCCCTTTTGATGGCTTTCTTGCTTTCCTATTTCTTTTCTTTTTCTTCTACCCTTCTACTTATAGATTCTCTGATATGACCTAATAATATAAAGGACCTACACAAGATCTATTAAGCTATACCTTAAAGACATCCTGATATCTTCTACATATATTTTGCTTTTAACATTTTGGAACACTTTCATATCATTTAACCAGTACATGTTTATTTAAAATGAAAATGAGCATTAAAATGGAAAAGTAAAAAATTCACTTCCACTATGATGGGATGAGGAGCTTGACAAATCCTATCCCCAAAAAGCAACTTTAAAGATATATTCTGAAAATAGACTAAAAACATATAACAAATTGAGATGGATTTATTTATTCAAGAAAACTACTGAATTTCAGGTAAAAACAGCACAAATGTATCATGTTTCTGCTTTGAGCTGCTCCCATTCTCACCCCACACCACCAGCTCTATCAATGGGGAAATTCAATAAGGGAAGGGAAGGCAGAAATTTTCTATTACTGATGCTAGAGAGGTTCACTTGATTTTTAACATCATCACTTAAAGTGTAATCTCTGAGGAGAAAGGATCAAGAAGCGTTAGTGACACTCTTAGCCTTAAGTGTGGGTCTATTGCAGGCAAGACACAGACTGGCAGACTCTCTGGGAATTTCATAGGGAATTTTAGGAGATGATACAGCCATAGGGATTGGATAAGATCCTCACATATCCTGGATTCCAAAAGCTGTGTATATACATAGCAGATACTAATTGGGCCACAAAATCCTAACAGAATCTGCACATATGTGCAGAAAAGGCATAAGAGGGCCATGTGGCTAGTGAATGTTATAGTATATTCTCTAATATGTCTAGTATTCAATCAAAAAATAGTAGACATACAAAAGCATAAGAAACTGATCTATGCTTAAGAAAAAAAACAGTAGAAATAAACTCTAAATACTCCAGATGTTGGAATTATCATATAAAGTCTTCAGCAGCTAATATAATTATATTCAAAGAACAGAAACAAACCATGTTCAGAGAACCAAAGGAGAACCTGATGATATGACTCAATGGGAAATCTCAACAAAATGATGGAAATTAATTTTAAACAGAAACTCTGGAGTTGAAATGTTTAATATGGAAATGAAAAATTCATGAGTAGGACTAATGGTAGATTTTAGATGGCAGAGCAATTAGTAAACTTGAAATCAATAGAAATCATTTTTCAGGAGAGAGTAAAAATATTGAAGTAAAAATGAACAGAGCTATACAAATGTATGGGACATCAAATGTTGGAGTATGCATAATGGAAATACCAAAATGAAGAGAGAAAATGGGGAATTTAAAAAAATATTGAAAAATAATGACCCATAACTTACCAAATTTGTTGAAAATTATTAATTTATAGATCTCTGAAGCTCAAGAACTCCAGTTAAAATCAACACAGACATCCACATTTAAATACATCATAATAAAAAAATTGAGAGACAAAGAGGAAATCTTGAAAACAATTAGGACAAAATGACTCATCATATGCAGAAGAACAATTATATGATTGGTGTCTGACTTCTTATTAGAAACGTCATACCTCAGAATTTATAATGCTGATAGAAGATAAAACTGTCAAACAAAAATTCTATTTTCAACCAAAGTCACTTTCAAATATGAAGATGAAGCTAGAAGTGGTAATGCATGCCTGTAATCTCAGCAACTTGGGAGTCTGAGACAGGAGGATTGTAAGTTTGAGGTCAGCCTCAGCAACTAAGCAAGACCTTTCTCAAAATAAAAAATAAAAAAGGATTGGATATATAGTTCAGTAGTAAAGCCCCTTGGGTTCAATCCCTAGTACAAAAAAAAAAAAAAAAAAAAAAAGCCCAGAAGAAAGAAACCAGAACATCACTCACAGATTGCTAGTTGTTCTACATTATAAGAAAAACTCAATGAAACCTTTTAGGCTGAACAAAGGTGATATAAAAAAGTAACCTAAATCCATAGGAAGTAATGAAATGTTCTGGGAATGACAAATATGTGAGTAAATATAAAAGGCTACATAAATATATGTCATTTCTTCAATATCATTAAAAGAATAAGTTTATATAAAGCAATAATTATAACATTGTATTGTACCCTGTCATGTATACACATTTTCATATATGTACATTGTATATATTGACAGTAATAACACAAGGTGGGATCGAGGGGATGGCAAAAAAGATGCATTGGATCAAAGTTTCTATATTTTATAGAAATTAAGTTAGTGTTTTGAAGATCACATGTCAAGAGCACATTGTCATCTATAGAGCAACCACATGAAAACAGTTAAAAATATAATTTTAAAAATCAACAGAAATTCAAATGGCACACTACAAATACAGTTGACCCTGCATATCCATTGATCAAGTACGTACTTAGGCCTATGATGGTTGTGCTGTACTGAACACGTACAGAATTCCTTTTCATTGTTCCCTGAACAATACAGTATAACAGTTATTTACATAACATTTATATTGTGTAGGTATTGTAAGTAATCTAAAGTTAAGTTAAATTGGAGGATGTTGTATAGGTTCTATGCGAATACTCTGCTGTTTTATATAAGATAAACTTGAGCATCCACAGATTGTTATCCACAGAGGTCCTAGAATCAATTCCCCTGAGGATACTGAAGGACGATTGTACTTACTTAACAGAGAAAAGACAATGAAAGAGTAACCAAAACCAAACTAAAACAAAACAAAAAACCCAACCTAAGATGTATGGAGTATAAATAGAAAAACAACAGATGTGATTCTGAACACATCAGTAATTACATTAGTATGAATATGATTCAAGTTGTCAAGTAGTAAAAGCAAGACCATCTATATGCTATCTACAAAACAAAACAAACAAAAAAATATGCCTTATATTCAAAAATACAGAAAGTAAAAAGACAGGAAAGATATATAATACAAAAAATAACCATAAATGAGCCAGAGTACTACATTAATGTCAAGCAAAAGTATTTTAAGAAAAATACTAAAGACAAAAAAGGACGTTTTGAAAAAAGATTAATATCAAGATATTACAATTATATATGTTTCTAACAACAAAACCCCAAAATATGTGAAGAGAAAAGCTCGAAAAATTGAAAATAGAAATAAATGATTCAGCATCAATACTTCACTTTCAGTAACTGGTACTGAAAGTGACTTGAGCATCCACAGATTGTTATCCACAGACAAAAGTCAGCAAGATATTATAAAATTTGAACATTATCAACCAACATGATTTGACATTTACAGGACACTCCACTTACTATCTGCAGAATACCTTAATGTCAAGCAGTATGTGAACATTCTCAAGGATAAACCAAATATTTCATAAAACAGGCCCGCTGCTGCCCTAAAGCCACTAGAAGTGTCTGCTTGCTTTCCACCAGCCTGACAGCGTCCTCCCAATATTGCCAACTGCTGAGCAACTAGAGGCCACAGACAGGTACCCCAGAACTAGTATGCAGAACTTTTGGCCATCATTGAAGAGCTGAGGAAGGATATAAGACACATTATGCAGGGAGCAATAGTGCCATGGAGAAACTAAAATGAGGTGTTGGTCATGCTCGAGGACTGGTTCGAGAATGTCGTGCTTGCCAGAAACAGAATGGAATGTCAGATCCTAGCCTCCTGGTCAGCTTGGGAGGTTCTCATCTCTCTACAGTATGAGAGGTTACAGCTCATATCCCTTGTTCATATGAAACACTTGTTTTCAAAATGGTAATAGTTTTTAGACTTTTTCTCCCAAAGTTCACTGGGCTCTGAACCTACAGTTTCAAAATATTGGGAAAGATTTCAAAGTTAATTAAGATTTTCATTTTAAGTAGTTAGGAATGACCTAGGTTTGTTGTTGTTGTTGAGTACTTTATGTCACCCAAATTGTTCTTTGTTACTTTTCATAAACTCATTCAATCCCAAAGACTTTATTTTAATGCATCCTGACCACTTCACTTAGCTGGTCAGTGTGCCTGCCATACAGTGTAGATTCTGCTTAATGGCACTTCTTTTTTGCTTATGCATTTGCATGACTTAATGCTTTGAAGTCAATTTTTAAAATGCACAAGTTATAAATACGGAAGAAAGAGCAACCTGCCAAATCTAAGAGGATCCTGAAATTTTTCATACTAAGACTGTATGTGGCCTGTGGTTCTGTGTTTACTGTAAGTTGATCAAAACATCTGGAAGAAAATAACTAAAAACTGCATCTTTGCATGTATTTATTGCTTGATGCTAATAAAGCTTATTTTCATTAAAAAAATAATATTTCTGTTCTTTGAAAGACAATGTTAAGAAGGTAAAAAGAAAAGCTACAGGTAGGGAAAACTGACTTGCAAAACATAAATCTGATAAAGAATTGTACCCATGGGCTGCGGATGTGGCTCCAGCGGTAGCGCGATCGCCTGGCATGCGTGTGGTCCGGGTTCAATCCTCAGCACCACATACAAACAAAGATGTTGTGTCCGCCGAAAACTAAAAAATAAATATTAAAAATTCTCTCTCTCTCTCTCTCTCTCTCTCTCTCTCTCTCTCTCTCTCTCTCCTCTCTCTCTCCCACCTCTCTCTCTCTCTTTAAAAAAAAAAAAGAATTGTACCCAGAATACACGAAGATCTCTCTAAACTCAACACACTCAAAGCAATGTGCAAAAAATTTGAGCATTTCTTTCACTAAAGAAAATATACAAGTGGGGATTAAGTACTTTAAAAAACAGTCAATATCATTAATCATTAGAAAAATGAAACTAAAAAAAACTAATGAAATATTACTACCCACTTTTTAACATATCTAAATTGAAGTTTTTTTCCACTGGATATTGGCCAGATGTTTAGAAGCTGGAGTTTTCATATGTTACACTATTGGTAGGAAGATAAAGTGGAACAACTTTGGAAAAAAATTTAGCAATTTCTTAAAAAGTTAAATATATACCTTATTATTTTCCCCAAGATAAAAGAAATCGTATGTCCATTAAAAGACTTCTATACAAATATATATAGCAGCTTTATTTGAAATTACTTAAAATTACAAACACCCAGATGTCTATCAAAAGGAAATGGATAAGTATGGTGTAATCATGCAATGCAATGCTACTCTGCAATAAAAATGAACGGTTGATACATGTCTCAACATAGATGAATCTCAAAATATTGCTGCATGGTAAAAGAAGCCAGAAGTTGCTCATGCTTATAATCCCAGCAACTTGGGAAGCTGAGACAGGAGGATTGAAAATTCAAGACCAGCCTTAGCAACTTAATGAAGTCTTAGGCAACTGAGGCTTGTCTCAAAAAATAAAATAGGCTATGGATGTGGCTTAATGGTTTAGCACCCTGGGGTTCAATTCCTAATACCAAAATATAAAAATAAAAAAGCCAGATTGTTATATACCATTTATTGGAAATATCCTAAAAAGGTTACATTTATATAGAAAGTTCATGGGTCCGGAGATCAACTGCAAAGAGACTTGAGTGAATTTGGGGCTTATTGGAAGTATCTTAAAACTAGATTTCAGTGATGGACTCATAACATTAAAATGTTATTAAACAAAACAAAAAACCCATGTTGAATTAGTGGAGAGAAAAAAGAAAAGTAGTTTTGCTGCCTAGGGCTAGAATACATAGAATTCCTGAGCTGGCAGGTAAATATGTGTGACTAAAGTTAAACAGAGAGAGAAACCTCATCATGGGCCATCCCATCTATTGTAGTTCTCTGATAAGAGTCAGAGCCCCCTGAAGGAGAATGTTTGCCTGGTAAATTGTACTAAAATTCCTGGTGCCTTTGAAAATTATGCTCAGAGAACTTGATGGGAATTTTCCCTGATTACTCTGTGAGACATGCTAGTGATTTTAAGTGATTTTAAGCCTAGAGCTTACTGATTTCATCTATCAGATATTGAGAGCTCTTCTGGTTCAGAGCATATTAGAATACACATTTCTTGAGTGAATTGGATAAAAATCTAAAATATCACCTTGGGGTTGGAGAGTGTCTGAGGCGGAAAAAATGCAAATCATCCCAATTGACAACTTTAAATGTGTTTTCTCCTTTAGGCAATCCTGGAAAACAATCTCCCATCTGAGATTGCTAGCAAGATCAACCTTGTGGACCTAGCAGGCAGGTAATTAAGATTTCTAAGCCAAGGCTAATTATTCCTTTGACAATGATCTTGTTCTTGCCCATTTTACACAGAATAAGTTTGATCTGGTCTCTTTTTACTTATCAGTCATCCTAAGACAATTACAAAAGAAATTCTTGAATGATAGGTTAAAAGTTATGGTGTGTCAGGAGCTGAAAAGTTCCTTTACATTAGGGGTTCTCAGTCTTAACTGCCCATTAAAATCTCTGGTAGGCCTTTTAAAACTCCTAATGCCTGCATCTTAGATCAAATAAGTTGGATTTTTAGTGTGGATGTCGGGGTGTAGGCATCAGTATTTTTTAAACCAGTGTATAGCCAAGATTGAAAATAGCTGCTCTAGGGGTTAGGGTTGTGACTCAGTGATAGAGTGCTTGCCTGGCACACATGAGACACTGGGTTCAATCCTCAGCACCACATAAAAATAAATTAATTAATTAAATTAAGGTTAAAAAAAAGAATGCTTTAGAAAAAAAGAAATTAAGTGTTCTAAGTGATGAACCCAGCCTAATTCCTCTTAAGATTGGGAGCCATCTTGTCACAAAGTCATGAAAAGTTAATTTCTGTTTTACTATTGTTAGACCAGGATGCAAAGAAAAGACCACTGACTCCAATTAAAATCAAATTAAAGTAAGCTTATTATTTCAACTGGCCTGGCTGCCTCTCCCAACAGAAACCGCAGGAATAAGACAGCCCTGCATCTTTCTTGCAGCCCAGCTTTATAGCCCAGAAAGTTACACAAAGGAGGGTTACAGATAACAAAACTCTGACAAGCATAATACAAATGCTAGTTTATATTTTTGCTGGCCCCAACATCAGAATTTATGAAGGTCATTAGAGCCTCAGAGAGGGTCATTATCTGACCAGGGAAGGCCAAGATTTATGAGGCGTCACTAAAGTTTCAGAGAGGGCTGCTATCTGCTCAGAGAAAGCCAGGCATGGGTGAGTTCAAGGCATGGGCAAGCATTCCAAGCAAGTTCAGAATTTGCAGTAATTTATAGTGAAGCCGAAATTAGCTTTTCATGTCTTTGTGGCAAGATGGTTTCCAATTTTAAGAGGGAATCCGGCTGGGTCTATCACTGTAAATTATTGTGATTTCTAAACTTGTTTGGAATTCCTGCCTATGACTTGAACTCACCCATGCCTGGCTTTCCCTGACCAGATAACAACCTTCTCTAAAACCTTAGTGGCACCTCTTAAATCTGGCTCCCCCTGACCAGATAACAACCCTCTCTGAAACCTCAGCAGCGTCTCATAAATTCTGATGTTGAGATCTAAATTTACTCCCTACCTTAAAATATCATACCATGTAGATCATTAACCTGCTATCTATAGCCTTTGTATTATGCTTGTCAAAATCCTGTTATCTGTAAATTCTCAAGACACCCTCCCCACTTTGCAACTTTTTATGCTATAAAACCTTGTTCCTGGAGAGCTGGGTGGCTGATCTCTAGCCTGGCTTAGGGAGAGACAATCCTAGCCAGCTTTCTTTGTGTAAACAATATAAGCTTGCTTTAATTTGATTTAAAATTGGAGTCAGTGGTCTCTTTTTTTGCATCATGGTTCAACACTAAGTGGAGGTAACTGAGTTAGCATAATTTTTCCTTTGATTTAATATTAATTCTGTATGGTAGACAGAATATCTTTTAAAAAAAGTTTTAAAGATATTACGAAGTTGTGGAGAAAGTACTGCCTTGTAATTATTAAAAGAAAGTGTGAATTGTAGGCAAGAATACATCCAGAAAGATGACAGTCTTGGGGATAATGTGGTCATGGGAAAGTATAAGATAAAATAAGGCAAATTTTCTTAATTTGAAACTGCTTTATGAAAGAAACTTTATCAGCCAATCTGAATTGTGAATTTTTAATATTTATCATTAATTTAAAGGAAATTTGAGACAGTTGATAATGACAAAGATACTATAAATCCATTAATATGTAAATTTAAAACAATAAAGATAGAGCAGAAGAGAATAAACCAAAAAAAAAAACTATGCTAATATCATTATTTTAAATGAACATTACATTTAGCTTAAAGTGATATGGTAGACAAAAATAGAAATATAGTAAATTATTTGATTTTTATTGCCTAAAAATTAGGAGGCCAGTTCATTATAAGATGGTTACCTCCTTTTCTGGAGCTGAATTCTAAAAAGAATATATTATGTGGATCTTTTACAACATGATATACAGCATAATGAATAGTATCTTTAAATAATATTATAAGGGTAGTTTTTTGTCTGCTTTTATTTTTGTTTTCCTCATTGTGTTTTAGTGAAAAAGCAGATCCCAGTTATTGTAAAGACCGGATTACTGAAGGAGCCAATATCAACAAGTCGCTTGTGACTCTGGGAATCGTCATTTCCACCTTAGGTATTGCTGGCAGATGAGGTGATTGGAATGGGAGGGAGATTTTAGAAAATAACTCATATTGTTTTCATTTTGTAAAAATTGGTAGATAGGGCTTGGGTTGTAACTCAGTGACACAGCCCTTGCCTAGCATTTATGAGGCACTGGGTTCAATACTTAGCACAGCATAAAAAAAAAAAAAAAACCTAAACAACAAATAAAGGCATGCTGTCCATCTATAACTATAAAAAAAAAATTGGTAGATAGCTGAAACAAGAGAATTGTAAGTTTGAGGCCAACCTGAGCAACTTAGCAAGACCATTCTCAAAATTAAAAAAAAAAAAAAAAAATGCCTGGGGATGTAGCTCCGTGATACTGTGCTTCTGAGTTTAATCCCCAGTACTACCCTCCCGCCAAAAGAGTGGGGGAGACATTTATAAGGTTCTTTTTGATAAGGTTACCTTTTGGTTTGGGGCTTGATAAGTACCTGTGATCTTAGAAAATGATGTGGTCACAGTTACAATACTATCATTTCAAAAATAGGAGACACTAAACAATTATGTCACTCAAATAATCCATATCATAAATTCAAAGTCTGATTTAGGGCTCAAATTTCAGGTATCTTATCATATGCAAAAAGGGATTAGGAAGTATGATTGCTAAGTATATGTTCTCCAATGGTTGTTTTGTTTTTATGAGTTTGCTTCATAATTCTTTCTTTTTTCATATATATATATATTTTTTTTTTAATTTATTTTTTTTTTTAAATCTCTTAAGCCCAGAACTCGCAAGTGTTCAGCAGCTGCCAGAGCCTCAAGAGCACAGCCAACACTGGTGGTGACAGTGGGATTCCTGTCTCTCCTGGAACCAGCAGTAGAGGGGGATCCTCTCAGAGGCAGTCTTATATCCCCTACCGAGACTCTATGTTGACCTGGCTGCTGAAGGACAGCCTTGGTGGCAACTCAAAAACTATCATGGTTGCTAGTAAGTGGGATGCTGGAGCTGCTTCTGTGTTGGCACTGCTCTGCCTCAGAAAAGGGCCTGCACACTCATGTTCCTCATTCCCTCAAGGGTCTCTTATACAGCATGGGCTGAGAGGACACTTGCAGAGTCCATGCAAAGTCCAAGGACCACACCACGCACTGGAATCTCACGCAAGAGATTTATTGTTAGTAGCATGAATCAAACCTACAATGTTGTCCCTCGAGGAGAGCAGCAGCGAGTCGGCACTCACAGAGCAGCTTTCTGGCCCACAAGAGGAATTTCATAGGCTGCTTAGGGGTTGTATCATAACCGGGGGTGGGGTTGATCGTTTAGCAGACACATGTTCTTACAGGAAGTTAAGCACATTGTCCCAGAATCCAAACTTTGGAGACACTAGATAAAATGGCTCCTAACCTAAAATGGTGAATCTGATGCCAATATTGATCTGATGCTATTATGGGCGTTAGCATCAAGGTGAGTGTTAAGGATTAGATTGGAAGGGCTTCTCATCTATTTTCAACTTTCTCTTTCTACCTTAGCTGTATCTCCTGCACATACTAGCTACAGTGAGACCATGAGCACACTGAGGTATGCATCGAATGCCAAAAACATCATCAATAAGCCACGGGTAAATGAGGTGAGAACTTCATTGGAAGTCCCAGTCTGATATAGTTATTGATGTTACTGTTTCTTTTTCTTTGTATTCACCTGTCAGACTTGTTCTCCAAATGATAAGAGAATGAACTTCTTTCTTCCAAAGTAATACCATACTCTTCTTTTATTGTTCTGCTTACTTCAGTCGGTAATGTTTTATGGATAATTTATTTTAAATATTTATTTAAAGCCAGTCCTCTTAAGATCCTTAGTGTTCCATTGCTACCCTAAGAAAGGGCATTTAAAACTATTTTTATTTTTAATTGACGTTAATTTATGTCTTATGAGTTTTTATTTGTTTTTCTCTATATAAGTTGCAATGACTTCTCTGTTTTGGATTTAAAAAGGAGTGTAAGAAATTTATATTTTATGAGAGCTACACAATCAGAAGAATATTCCAAATGTTTCTTACCTCCTTTACAATTTTAGTGAAAACTTCCAGTGCAGGGTTCACAACAGGGACCAGACATATATAGCCCATATGGAGAATATTGTATTAGGCAATGTAATTAGGCAGGTATCAAGTTTATGTTACCTGGTTTATGTTACCTTCCTGATCTCCTGCTCCTGGGTAATGAGTACAAGAATCACCTGGATGCCAGGTGCAGTGGTGCATGCCTGTAATTCCAACTACTCAGGAGGTTAAGCCAGGAGGATTGCAAATTCTACCAGCCTCAGCAACTTAGCTAGACCCTGTTTCAAAAAAAAAAAAAATTTTTTTTTAAAGGGCTGGGAATGTTGCTCAGTGGTAGAAATCTCCTGGGTTCAATCCTCAGTGTTGGGGTGGGGTTGGGGGTCACCTGGAGAGTTTGCCATAATACAGCTGGGCCCCAGCCCTCAGGATTTGCTGATTTAGTAGATCTGGGTTGAGGCCATAATTTGTATTTCTAACAGGTTCTTAGATGAAGTTGCTTACTGCTGGTTTGGGACTGTACTTTGAGAAAAATTGCTCTAGAAATGACTCCGAAGGAGTTAATCTACTTCTTCTAAGCAGTTGCTTTTAGCATTTCATAACTGGTTAGGGCCTGATATCAATCAGTGACGGAGTCCTCTGTGTTTCAGGATGCAAATGTGAAGCTCATCAGAGAACTCAGGGAAGAGATTGAGAGACTGAAAGCCATGTTGCTGAGCTTTGAATTGGTATACAGGCAATCAAAACTTTTCCATGTTTAAATCAAATGAGTTTCTCTTCCCAAGTCCCCTTTTTTTCTGCTTAGCATGGGACCTGCTATACTCCATGTTCACAGTTGACATTTCATGGAACAAAGATAGGAGGGGGGATTACACTGATTTCTCTATGTAACTTCAGATGATTTGGGCATCATCTGGCTTTATCATCTCTTGTCCAGAGGGCATTTCCCCAATGGCCCTTGTTCTGTGTGTGGGCAGACATGGAGAATAGGGTTCTAGGGAAAATTTTCTTTGAATTCTTCTTCTTTGTATGATTCCAAATTCTTAGACTCCTGATTTATTTCTGATTTTAATGATGAAGTATTTCCTTTATCCTGTACCTTCTTCTGCAAGTGTAAGTGTAGAACTACTATAGTTCATCAGGAAAACATCGAAGCACCTTTCTCTTTTTGTTTGTGCAGAGGAACTTCAGTTCATTAAATGATGAAAAGGATGAAAATCTGAAGGAACTAATTCTGAGAAATGAATTAAAGGTGGGTGGACCCAGTATTATCTCTAGAAGCAGGTTTGAGCTCCCTACTTAGTGTAACATAGAGCATGGAATTGGGTGGGTTCTTTGTCTCACAAATTCAAAGAATGAGATTCACAAATAGCAACAGATAAAAGCAAAGTATAAGAATTCATTAAAGCAAAGTAAAGCACGGCTCCCTCAAATGGAAGGGAACCTGAGAAGGTTGTCAATGAATGGCTATTGCCTAGGATTTATATGGATCTCTAGGTTTAAGGAACTCAGCCACCTGACCAATTCTGGGTAAGGCACTAGGTGTCCATGAGGTATCCATGCAGCCTTTAGACCAACCAAATTATTGACCAGTGCCAGATGTATATGGGGAGGGGTTGAAGCAGAGAATTGCAAATTTCAAAGCTGGCCTCAGAAACTTAGGAAGGCTCTAAACGATTTAGCAAGACCCTGTCTCAAAATAAAGCATAAAAAGTGCTGGGGATGTGGTCTCAGTAGTTAAGCACCTCTGGGTTCAATCCCTGGTACCAATAAAATAAAATAATACAATGTAATATAATATGGTAAAGTAAAATATTGACCAGGCATTTTTCCTTCTTTGGAAAATGGACTCCAGGTCATGTATGTCTCCATTTAAAAATAATTTTCTTGCAGTTTCTCAGAAAAATTCTGCAGCTGCTGTTTGTGCTCTGCTGCCCAGGAAGTTTCCCTGGTGCCCATTTACCTATCTGCCTAGGCTTATCTCTTTCTCCTGGCTTCAGTAAATCATGAAAGGAATCCCAAATATGGATCACATAGAAATAAATGGGAGCTGGCGCTGTGGTGCACACCTGTAATCCCAGCTACTTAGGAGGCTGAGGCAGAAAGATCACAGATTTGAGGCCATCCTGGGCAACTTAGGGAGACCCTGTCTCAAAATGAAATTTAAAAAGGACTGGTGGTATAGTTCAGTGAAAGAGCATTTGCTGTACAAGACTCTGGTATAATTCCCAGTATCTTAAAAAAAGGGGGGGGGATTGGATTGGGCACAGGGGAGTGGGGGAGGGGAGGGGAATGGAGGGAGGGGAGTGGAGGGGGTATCGGGTGGGAAGGATGATGGAATGAGATGGACATTATTACCCTATGTACTTGTAAGACTGCAAGACCCATGAGACTCTGCATCTTGTACAGCCAGAGGAATGAGAAGTTGTACACCATTTGTATGCAATGTGTCAAAATGTATTCTGCTGTCATGTATAACTAATTAGAACCAAAAAAAAACCTTAAAAAAATGGGGAAAGGAATATTATAAACATAGATATCAGAGTAACATACCAATTAATTTTTACAAAATAATGTAATTACATTTCTTTTTTAATTAGATGGTACATGTTATTACAGAAAATTTGAACATTTATTGAGGGAAATTGTTTATAGAAGTAAGACTTGCGGCTAGTGCGGTAGCACACAGCTATAATCCCAGTGGCTCAGGAGGTGGAAGCAGAAAGATCATGAGTTCAAAGCCAGCCTCAACAATTTAGCGAGGCGCTAAGCAACTCAGTGAGACCTTGTCTCTGATAAAATGCAAAAAAATAGGGCTGAGGAAGTCAGTGGTCGAGTGCCCTTGAGTTCAATCCCTTGTATGCCCCCCCCCAAAAAAAAGTAAGACTTGTTTTTTGAAGAAAACAATACAGAGAGCTCATAGTTGGAAGAGGTACAAGGGCTTCTGAGAGGGTTTGAATAGTAACAGTGGGGATCATGAGAAATTAATACCCTGGGGAAACATTTCATAGTAACCTTTTACCTTTAGTCTGTTTCCCACACCAACTGTCTAAGATCACCTCCTGTACCTCTGCAGATAGACAAGCTGACTAAAGAATGGACCCAGAAGTGGAATGACTGGCAGGCCCTCCTGGAACATTACAGTGTGGACATCAACAAGAGGAGGGCTGGGGTGGTCATTGACTGCAGTTTGCCACACATGATGGCCTTGGAGGACGATGTGCTTAGCACAGGTGTTGTGCTGTACTACCTCAAGGTGAGGAGACTGGTGCACCTCTTTTCTTCCTGAGCCATTGGCCCCAGAAGTGAAGGAGGTAGCAGCCATGTTTCTATGAATTGAGACAGATGCCACAGAGCTGCCTTCAGATTTGCTCTCAGGAGACCAGTCTTGCTAACAAATTGTGATCTGCTTTGATTTTGTGTAATGAAGTGTAATACTGGACATCAGAAAAATCATTTGTTTTTCAACTGCTAGTGTTGTTGTTATAAACTTGTTTCTGTTTTCTGTGTCTTTATTTCCTTGTTTTAAAACAAAAATGATGATGATTCTTCTTTTATTTCTTTCTGGATTTTTGAAGCACAGGGTACACAGTCTTGGAAAGTGAAATCCTAACTTTAAAAATACTTTTCCGTGTAAGCTGGACATGGTGGTATGTGGTATGTGCCTGTAGTCTCAGCTACTTGGGAGGTTGAGGCAGGAAAAATGCTTAAGTCCAGGAGTTCAAGGCCACCCCGGGCAACATAGCAAGACTTGAGAGCCACAGCCTAGTTGGGATGGTGCATGGCATTTTGCCAGAAGAGTGGTTGAGAGGTGATGCCAGCGAGCCATTAAGATGATGATAATTAAGTTAAGCTGTGTATAATTGCTGTGACTGGATGTTGCTGGATTGAAACAGGCTGTGTATTCAGTTGTATATAGACCCCTTGTACATAGACCCAGCAGGGCGGCTCCTGCTGCCTTGGGCGTCTGCTACTTTTGAGTTCCCCATTGAGTTCTCATGGAGCCTGGTGGAGGGGGGGAGAGTTCCCGGGCAGTGCGCGTGGAGTGCCATTGAGAGTTCGGGCAATAAAGTAGTTCCTGTTTGAACCTACAAGTGCCTCTTGGCGGCTGGGTTATTTTGTGCCCAGCCAGACTGCGGCATTTGGTGGCCCGTATGGGCTCTAAAATTCTACAGATGCAGGCTGCTCAAAGATGGGGGAATTTGGAAAACCTAAAAGTTTCTTCTGATACTTTCCTACTTTATTCAACTCCTAAATGAACAAAAAATATACCTCCATTTGACTTATATTAGAAAAGAAGAGGGCACAGAGAAAGTAGATAAATGAAGCTTAAAGAATGAAGGAAGACCCAAAAAATTGTAATGGGGTGGTATGGAGGATGATATGCATCTATCTAGGAAAAATAGAATGAATTTAAGGCCCTTAAAATAAGAACTGGCTCACATGGCTTTTTGACACCTGGAAGCCAGATCATCATTTCTAAATGAAGTAGGTTTTTTTGTTTTGTTTTTTTTTTTAATATTTTTTAGTTAAATGAACACAGTACCTTCATGTTATTTATTTATTTTCATGAGGTGCTTAGGAGTGAACTCAGTGCCAGGCAAGTGAGCCACTACTGAGCCACAACCCCAACCCCATGAAGTAGTTTTTTAAAAAAAATTTTTTGTAATTGTAGATGGACAGCATGCCTTTATTCTATTTTTTTGTTTGTTTGTTTATATGTGGTGGTAAGGACCAAACCTAGTGCCTCATACATGTGCTGTGTTACTGAACTACAGCCCCAGGCCATAAATAAAGTAGTTTTTTTAGAGTACATTTATTATTTGTTCTTTTTAGATATGCATACAGTAGGGTATATTTTGACCTATTTTATATACATGGAATGCAACTCATTACAAGTCTGATCCCATTCTTGTGGTTGAACATGATGTAGTCTGGTCATGTAATCATGCACGAACATAGGGAAGTGATATCTATTTCACCCTACTGTCTTTTCTATGCTCATCCTCCTTCCTTCCCTTCATTCCCCTTTGTCTAATTCAATGAACTTCTACTTTCCTATCCTCTCTTTTTATGGATTAGCATCCACATATCAGAGAGAACATTCAGCCTTTGTTTTTTGGAACTGGCTTATTTCAATTAGCGTGATAGCCTGAGTTCTACCCATTTACCAGCAAATGCCATAATTTCATTCTTCTTATGTCTGAGTAATATTCCATTGTGTATACATACCATGTTTTCTTTATCCATTTATCTGTTGAAGGGCACCTAGGTTGGTTCCATAGCTTGGCTATTGATGTGGCTGTATCACTGTAGTATGTTGATTTTATCCTTTGGGTATAAGCCGAGGAGTGGGATAACTGGGTCAAATCATGGTTCCATTTTAAGTTTTCTTTTTTTGGAACCAGGGATTGAACTCAGTGGCACTCAACTATTGAGCCACATCCCCAGTCCTATATTGTATTTTATTAGGGACAGAGTCTTTTAGAGTTGCTTAGCACCTTGCCATTGCTGAGGCTGCCTTTGAACTCACGATCTTCCTGCCTCCGTCTCCTGAGCCCTATTCCAAGTTTTCTAAGGAATCTCACTGCTTTACAGAGTGGTTGAACCAATTTGCAGTCCCACCAGCAATGTATGAGTGAATCTTTTCCCCCACATCCTCACTAACACTTATTGCTGTCTGTATTCTTGATAACTGCCATTCTGACTGGATTGAGATGAAATCTTAGTTTCAATTTGCATTTCTCTCATTGCTAGAGATGCTGAACATTTTTTCATATATTTGTTGACCATTCATATTTCTTCTTCTGTAAAGTGTCTGTTCAGTTCCTTTTCCCATTTATTGATTGGGTTATTTATTTATTTATTTATTTATTTTTGGTGGCAAGTTTTTTGAGTTCTTTATATATCCTGGAGATTGAAATGCAGTAGTTTTAGGAGTTAATGACCCAGGCTGGGATTATAGCTCAGTAGTAGAGCACTTGTCTAGCCTGTGTGAAGCACTGGGTTCATTCTTAGCACCACATTAAAAAATAAATAAATAAAATAAAGGTATTGTGTCAAAAAACACATTGCATCATTAAAAAAAAAAGTTACTGACCCATGGTAGATAGAGCCTTATGCTGTGTCCTTGCAAATATGTCCTTCTGTTGGAGGACAGTTCATATGGGTAGAAGAATACATTTCACCAGTCACCCTCCCTCTGCTCACTGAAAAATCCATTTTCTATTCTCTTTATCCCCAGGTGACATTTAAAAAGAACAAAGAGTTGATGGAGATATGTAATGCTTCCTTTATCCCAGGAGAAATTAGGTTTCTGCTGCTATAGTGCATATGAAAGCTCATCTGTGTTCTTAGGATAAGCCCCTAGGGAAGTTAGCAGAGTCTGTGTGTCTAAAAGGTAAAGTAGCTTTTTTTCTGGCATACTGAGCATAAATTGTTTCAGTGAAATGCCTCAGGCAGAAGTGGCTGTCTCCTTTTATCTTAACAATAAATCTAAATACCAAAAGGACATAAATCCATTTATTAGTCCTGAACCATAGGAGATTCGGGTGAAGAGATCAGATCCATTAAACTGGTCACTGAGTAGAACTGATCTGATGTATTGATTGGATATGGAGTATGCAGATGAAGTTAGGTGTTAAGTAGGAAAGCTTAGGGTATAATCAGAGGGTGAAGGGCCATGTGTGCTGAATTGAATTGTCCTGGAGATGAGTGATCATTAGATTGCTGATTTTTTATTTGGCATCTGGTGAGGGTTTTGCTCCCTTGGTGCATTGGACCTATATGGTGATATTTTAGATTGGTTCTAAATCTTGGCACTTCTGCATTTTATGTACCCATTTTTTTTCATTTTCTTTTTCTTTTTTAAAAAAAATTTATTTAGATCCTGATTTAGGTAATGATTTAATTGTAATGGACCAAGATTGTCTGTTAGTTTGTTGTTATTGTTGTTTTATGGTATTGGGGATGGATCCCAGGGCCTTGTGCATGATAGGCAAGTACAGTACTCCACCACTAAGCCACACCCCAACCCCTTTTTAGAATTAAAAAAAAATAACTTTTTAAAATTTTTAAATTTTTAAAAATATTTTGTAGATGAATACAGTATCTTTATTTTATTTATCTATTTATTAGATTGAACCTAGTTTCCCACATGTGCTAGGAAATTGCTCTACCACTGAGCCACAACCCCAGACCCTTAAAATTTTTACTTTTGAGATAGGGTCTTGCTAAATTGTGAAACTGGCCTTTAACTGTGATCCTCATGCCTTAGCCTTCCAAACGGCTGGTTATAGGTGTGACACTGTGCCCAGCAAAATTCTCTGTATTTTTATTTGCTTTGCTAACTTAATTACAGATCTGGAACTAGTTCCTGGTGATGCTCTGAAAACCCTTTTTCCCTTGGGTCACCTTGAAAAGCTCCTTTGGATAGAGATGGGGCTTAAGAAAGGATGGGTAGAGCATAGGTTACTGATACTTTGTACTCGCTGTTTTGCTGCCAATTGTTCCCTGCATAAAAAGGCAGAAGGAGCAGCAAACAGGTCCTTGTTATCTAAGATGCAAAGTCTTTTTTTGGTAGTTTCTTTCCTGCAGGAGAGTGCCCTTGCATTCAATTTCCAGTACCACAAACAAAATTTAAAAAGTAAATAAATAAGACAGTTTGTGAGGACTATCATCCATTGACTCATTGGATGCTCAGTTGCTGAGCAGGAAAAGCCTGGTTTCTGGCTGTGTGTATGCAGGGAGGAGAGGCAGAGGTACCTCCAAAATTCTTTACCTCCAAAATTCTTTCTTCTCACAAGTTATTTTGGGGGAGCTCCCTTTCTTGCTGCTGACAATGAAGCCTTCTAGATAACTCTAGTCTCTATGAAAACATATAACTGAGAAGGTGGTATGTGAGTCCAAAAAAGCAAGGGTATAGGATCAAGGAAGATCTAAATTCTAGTCATAGCTCTCCTACTGAATATGTGGGTTTCTTGGGCAACTTATTCACTATGAGTTTCAGATTTCTCCTCTATAAGGAGACAATAGTACCTGTTTTAGGTTGTTAAAGAATGAAATAAGATGATGTCTGTAAAGCACTCAGCATAATACCTGGAATGTTGGGAATGGTTATTCAGTAAATGATAAAGATGCATCTAAAATTTAGTATCTTTGTTGCCGTTGTTGCCTGCTCCAGATAGAGCTCTGTGGTCATAAGCAGATTTGCCATACTTCAAGGGCTAGAAGGTTGTCTTGTCTTCTATTAACCCATGATTTGTTTATACTAACTCCAATTTCCCTCTACTCTTTTATATTCTTTCAGTTCTTTTTGATTCTAGAGGTGCTTTTTTCCTATTTGTGCTTTATCCTTCTTAGAATCTGGTGTCTGTTAAACTTCATCTGTGGACCAAGAAGGTAATAATTCTATGTTTCCATAAATCTTCATTAAAAACTTGTCTCTTTAAGATTTACTGATCAAACTTGGACCTCACTAATCTTAGCCCTTTTTTGGGGAAAGCTATACTTTATGCCTACTTCCTCTGACTAGAGAATATCTGGCCAGTACTGGCTATTCCTTAGCTTCAACTTATAGGACATAAAGAAGTTTGACAACTTTGCAAATAGCTAGAACTGTGTTGTCTACCACCCTCACCACCTTCTTTTGGGCTTTCTGGGCTGCAATGTGAGGTAGGCAGAGAGTTAGAACCACCTACACCAAAGTTGAGAAGTGGTACAGAAAAAATTGGAATAGGAATGTGAAGATAGTGATAATACTCAAGAATGGACTCTCCTTTAAGGCTAAGCATCACTTTTTGTTTTATTAAAATAGTTTTCTTTGCCCCCACAGGAGGGGATAACAAAAATTGGAAGGATTGACTCGGACCAAGAACAGGACATTGGTAAGTAACATCACACAGGGGCCTGACACTTGTGGCAGTTATTTGTGCCTAAAATATTTCTTCAGAGGAATCTGATGATGTTTTTAAAGGAACAGAATCATTGAAGTATTAAGGATCTGCTTCTCTGTTACTACACTTTTAAAGATCTACACAGTGGTAGGATTTTAGATCTGGTGGTTTGAGGTGGTAGCTCTTCCTTTCTTTTTATGATAGGAAATGTTATGGATGTTGGATTCAGATCCCATAATAAGACTGGAGGAGGTATTTCCCTGGATTCACCCCCACCCACCCAAGTGACCCCCCCAACCCTTCTGTAGTCCTTCAGGGTCCGTTGATTGAGAGAGACCACTGCACAATCACCAACACCTGTGGGGCAGTCATTCTCCGGCCTGCTCAGGGGGCACGCTGCACAGTCAATGGCCGTGAGGTCACTGCCTCCTGCCGTCTGACCCAAGGTAGGACTGTCTACAGCCCTGTTTATTCCAGGATGAAGGATGGAGCAACCCCAATATCTTAAGGGCCCAGAGAGTTCAGTGATGCAGGCTTTAAAGATGAATCACCTACCTTCTGCACCCAAAGACCTGAAGATTTCCTAACACGATTCTCTTCAATCTAGGACCTGAGAGTGAAGAATGACTCTCTGAAATTTTTGCCTGTGTTTGTTAGCTCTGTGTCCTTAGGAAAGTCTCTGAACCTCCATTTCCTCATCTATAAAATGGAGATAACAATAGGATTCCAAAGATTGAAGAAACCCTATACTTGTAAGGTTCTTTTTTTTTTTAATTGTAGATGGACACAATACCTTTATTTTATTTATTTATTTTTATGTGGCGCTAAAGATTGAATCCACTGCCTCACATGTGTCAGGCAAGCACTCTACCACTGAGCCACAAACCCAGCCCCACCTTGTAAGGTTCTTAACAGAGTAGTTGGCACTTAGTAAAGAGTGCCATTGTCATTATTACTGTTTTTATTATTGTCACTAGTATTATTAATCTATCCAAGTTTTTTTGTATTTTGAAACTGAATTTTAGTTTCTGCTTCTTTAGTGAAGCTATTTTTGACTACTCCACCTGGAACTCCTCTTGCTTTCTGTTAAGAGAGGACAATAGCTCCTCCTGTTTATAAATTCAAAAACCTATGTTGTGAGGTATATAATTAATACATATCAACTCAGCTAAAGCATCAACTTGTTGAGGGCATTATTTTATCTCACAAAGGGTATCCTGCACAATTTATATACTTAAATGTGCTCTGATGAAATTCTCGTTTGTCTGGGGCTAGGGCTGGGGCTCAATGGTGGAGTACTCGCCTGGCACATTCAAGGCCCTGGGTTCAATCCTCAGCACCACATTAAAAAAAAATGAATAAATAAAATAAAGGTATTGTGTCAACTACAACTGAAAAATATTTTTAAAAAAGAAAGAAAGAAATTTTCATTTGTCTGCACTGCAGGAGCTCTTATAACACTGGGGAAAGCACAAAAGTTTCGATTCTACCACCCAGCAGAGGCTGCTATCCTGCGGCAGCAAAGGCAGGTCAGTATGGCTGTGAATTCCAGGTTGCTTCTGGTTTTTCTGTTTCTTCTTTTTAACGGAGAAGCTTGAATTTTGTCCTATTCTGTTGGGCTGAGGAGGAGGATGGTAGCCTCACTGTGCCTTTTATCTTGTTCTAGGTTGGAAAGACTTTTGGTGGTAGTGGCTCTTTGGAATGGCTGCACTTGGACGGGGATGTCACTGCCTCCCGGCTGAGTCTCTACCCTTTACTTTGGAAGGAAAGGTGAGAAACAGCTACTTGTGCTGATGTAGAACCTCCTATGTTTGCTTCTTGGTCTATTACAATACAGAGCAGGGCAGTAAATGGTGTAGCAGCCCAGGTCTAAGTGAGGCCTGCTCCAAATCAACCTGGGCAAGTGATCCTATGATGCTGAATGAGCTTCTGAGTTTGTAATTGACAGAAAAGTGGCCTTGGCCTTCATTTATTTCCTGTTTGGTATTTCACCTTTCTTCATTACTGAAAGATGTATATCATTTGATGTTCCAATGGTCACTTTCCCATCAACAAGATTTAATTGTGAAGTTTTTGCAGACATCTTGGATGCTGCTTCTGAATTTACCTCTTTTTTTCTGAATTTACCCTTTAAATTCTGGCCTGTGTGTGAGCTCATTGTATATGTCAGTTAGCCTCTAGAACTTATGACTTACCCTGAGTTTTTAAAGGTAGTATGTGACTGACAATCCTTTTTTTTCTCTCATAACCAGAATTCCAAAAGTATGCATAAGAGGTACAGGAACTACAGGAATAATATGAAAAAGTATTTGGGGGCTCTAATCCATTTCACCTGCATTTTAACTGCAAAGACTTGAGTCAGAGTTTTGTATGTGATTGATAGCAAGCAACTACTTTTCTACTTCATAGTCACAGTTCATCCATTTCTACATAGAATCCCCTTCCCAGGTCTAAATGCCTGATGGGTTTAGTACTGGTAATTCTTCTGTTTCTATAAGCCCAAGTGACTTCTGCCTTTGGAATTTCCTATAGAAAATATCAGCAGGTGATTCAGTGCCTATGAAATCACTAGTGTCAGGAAGGAAACTACTAAGCATCTTGAGCTCAGGGTTCTTGGCAGGTTCTGATGGCTCTTGGTCCCTTCAGAAGGATCCAGCTGCTCTTTCCTCAGGCCAGCAACATTTGATGGCAGAGGAACACAGTTTTGGGGTCCAAAGTTGGTAGTGAGAGATGATGGATTGAGGAACAGTGGAAACAGGAGCAATAGGCAAGTCCTCATAGGAGGGCTTCTTGGGATTGAAGGATGCTCTGACAAAGGTTTAAGGGAGGATGATCCCAGAGTTGAGTAACTGAGGGCTTTGTAGGGTAAATGGTTGGGAGAGATGGCACAGGGTGAAGAGTACCAAGGCCAAGGGGAACTCAGGACTCAGGACAGAGCTCTTATTTTGTCAGCGTGGTGCCTCTTCTTTGTAGTGAAATATCAAAAGGAGACCTTGTTTTAGGTAAGGCTTTGACTGGGAAGATGCATTAAAGATCGGGTTTTCCCAAAGTTCAGAGATGAACAGAGAGCAATACTGAAACTTAAAAAGCTGCAGATGTGGAAGAGATACATTGGAGTTCACATCCTAGCCCTACCACATAAAAGCTGTATGTCCTTAGGCAGTTCACTGAACCCCAGAGTCCATTTCCTCATCTTCGAAGTAAGGATATTGCCATCCCTTTCCCAGGAATCCTTGTGAAGGATTGAAGGAGTGAGTATGTGCGCATGGTACTAACAGCCATAGCCCCAATTGCTAGGAGGGTCTGGGGACAGGCTTCCCAGGAAGGCTGCCTTACTTTCTCTTTCTTGTCCTCCCATCTCAGCCAGCTGACTTATCCAGCCCAGAGTACCCAGTGGTCTCCTGCCTCTTTAAAGTTTTCTATGCTTTCCAGTCTACACACATTGACATGACCTTTCAGTAACACCAAGAATGTCCCTTTTGAATTTCACCTTCATGTATATGGAGAAGAAAGGAAGTATAGTGTAGTAGAGAAGGGAGAATGGGGGAAGGAAGAGGGAGAATGGGGGAAGGAAGAGGGAGAACGGGAGCATGAATTGTAGGGAGGAATGGGGACTGAAATAAAATTCCTTGCATGTATGATTTTGTCAAAATGAACCCAAATACTATGTGTAATGCTTTAATTTTTTAAAACATCGCTTTCATTTAGAGGACAGAGGAGGATTTCAGAATCAAGACTTTTCCCACCTACTTACCTTCACCATTCAACATCAGCTGTAGGAACTGGTAGGCTAGGCTGGTCCTGCCCAGCTTCTGAAGCCAGCATCTGTGTGCCATCCCTGGACAGGTAGTGTGGTGTGGTGCTCAAGTGTGATTGACAAAGGGTCTAGGGAGAGAAACCTATAAGAGCAGAGAAAAATGCACATTGTCAGCTGGACTCCCAGTCTGGATTTGTGGCTCTGTCTCCATGAGAGTCTCTCTTGCCTTATGGGCATGGCTCCAAAGCCTCCCCTTATCCTAGGCTTGCTTGCTGTCATTTATCTATCTGGATGAGCATTTGTGGGAGCTGGAGCAGACTGCAGAGCCAGAAAAAATTGGCCAGTCTGCCCTTCTTTTCTCCTTCACATCCATGATCTGGACCAGAGAGGAATTTGTCCTTGAAAATTGTTGCCTATTGTCTTGGCATTTTCCCATTTGGAATTTTGAGGACCCAGTCTTAAATGTTGTCATTGCTGTTGCTGCTATTGTTGCCTTAGTAAGTAGACACTACCACACTCTGCTGCAGAAACTGCCAGACCCTTCTGCAGCTGGGGAAGGCTGTCAGAGCAGAAAACAGAGGGTACAGTGAAGTTCTGGCAAGCAGGTGGCCAGTTAGTAGCTTAGGGGATGCTAGAGCCACTGAATATGAAGGGAAGTCATCTGATAGGGACAGAGGTTCTTTGCCTGGTGGGTAATGAAGAGTTACCCTTAGTGACGTACCTATATACATTAACATAAGACTGATATTTTTGTTTTCAATTGCTTTCTGGGAACTTGACTGATGTGCTTAGTGGAGGAGCTCTTCTGGCTAATCCTGTGTGGTATCTTGGGTAAATGCACTATGTCTATGGTGATCACCCCAGTTCCCCTCTGCAGGTCCTGTTGCTACTATGAAGAAAGCTATTGTAGCTGCTACTTTCATATAGGAAGAACAAGGAAGCTCTCTTTTAGGAAGAATCAAATTGTAACTCTGAGGGTTGGGGAGACAGCCAGAGAAGGAAACTGAGTAACATCAAGGAATTCAGAATACGGATCCCCTCTCTGCTCTTGCATCTGGTAATCTGTGTGGGTATTATGGTTGGGATGACCCATGTTTATAATTCAGCCATTTCTATGATTAGAAAATAATAATAATACAGGCATGATACATGTAAATTCATGTATAAAATGTTTTACATTAACTGTTTCTTCTATTTGGCATTAGCTGCTTTTCAGTTCTGGTTGCTTCCCTATCCTTCTACTTTACATGTGATAGAGGGTACCTTTCCTCTTTCTATATGTTCTACTGTGTATATTTGGCTTTTTGCCCACAGCAATTAGCACCAACCTTGGACCCATTACACACTGAATTGCTTCACAGCCTCTTTTCCAGGAAAGAGATCATAGTTTCCAGTTTCTCTTCCCCTGATCTATTTATTCTACTTTACATCCTTCACTGGTCTCTTAAGATTACATTACAAAAATCTTAATTTCTAGCTGGCACACACCTGTACTCCCAGTGACTTGGGAGGCTGACGCAGGAAGATTAAGAGTTCAAAGCCAGCCTCAGCAGATAAGCAAGGCACTTAGCAACTCAGCAAGATCCTGTCTCTAAATAAAATACAAAAAAAAGGGATGGGGATGTGGCCCACTGGTTAATTGCCCCTAGGTTCAATCTCCAGAAAAAAAAATCTTAATTTCTTCTAAGTCAGGAGTGGTGAAATATTTTTTTCCATAAAGAGCTTTGTGGACCATGTGGCCTCTGCTCAACTTTGCCAATGTGACAAGAAAGCAGCCTAGCTTGGACAATGCAAACACAAATGGGCATGGCTATATTCAAGTAAAATTTTTTTTACAAAAAACAGACTAGAAACCAAATAGGACTTACAGACTATAGTTTGTTGACCTCTGTTTTAACACTATCTGTGACTTCATTCTGTTACATAATGTGGTATGTTAGCTTTGTGTTACTAAATCAAAATACCTGAAGACAATCAACTTCATAAAGGAAAGATTGGGCTATATTTGGCATACACCTGTAATTCCAGTGACTCCGGAGGCTAAGGCTAAAGGATACCAAGTTCAAGACCAGCCTCAGCAACTTAGTTAGGTGATAAGCAACTTAGCAAGACCCTACTTCAAAATAAAAAGAACTGAGGAATGTAGCTCAGTGGTAAAGTGCCCCTCGGTTCAATCCCCAGTATCAATAACAACAACAAAAAATGATTTGTTTGGGTAATAGTTTTAGAAGTTTCAGTCCATGGTTGGTCCTGTTGCTTTTAGACTTGTGGCAGCATAGTATAACATGGTAGGATCATGTGATGGAAGAAGCCTTTATGTCATAGTGGCCAAAAAGCAAAGAGAGAGAAAAAAAAGAGAGAGAGAAGCCAGAGTCCTAATATCACCCTTCAAGAGCATGCCTCCAATGATCTAACTTTCTTGCAGTTGGCCCCACCTCTTGAAGGTTCTACTACCTCCCAATGGTACGATGGGTTGTAGACCACGCTTTCAATAAGGGGACCTTTGCAGGGACATTCAAGATCCAAACTATAGCAAAAAGGATGAATCCCTTAGAATATCATGCTCATACTACTTGACACCTGGTTCCAGTATCAAACCAGTAAATAAACTTCTCCAAACCTTTGACACGACAACTTGGGAGTATAGTGAGGGCTGAGAACTGAGTAAAGGAGACCTAATTCTTGCTTTTTGTTAGCTTCTGGAAGAATCTGACTCTTCCTAACAACTCCCTTGCTATCCCCATCCTGGAGCACCCAAGCACTTGGCTTCTTTATTTTTATTTATTTATTTCTTAGTTAATTAGTTAGTTGACTGAGATAGGAGTCTTGCTGTGTTGCTGAGGCTGATCTTGAACTCCTAGTTTCAAGTGAGCCTCCTGCTCAGTCTCCTGAGTAGCTGGAACTCTAGGCACCCACCAGTGCTTCCAGCTTCATGCGCTTAGCTCCTGTAGAATCCTGAATGAGGTGGAGATACCCTCAGAAAGCATTTGAAGTCCTCATATAAAAGAAGAAGATGCATGACCCAGGCAAAGGTAGCAGTACTTGGAAGCTGTCTTTCAGAGAAATTTTATTTTGTTTTAAACTTTATTTACTTATTTTTTATGTGGTGCTAAGGATTGAACTCTGTGCCTCACATGTGCTAGGCAAGTGCTCTACCACTGAGCCACAACTCCAGCCCAGAAATTTTATTTTTTTAAAAAATTTGTTCTTTTTAGTTATACATGACAGTAGAATGAAGTTATATACATTATACATACATGGAGAATAACTTCCCATTCTTGTGGTTGTACATGATGTGGAGTTACATTGGTCATTTATTCATATATGAACATAGTAAAGTATGTCCAATTCTTTCTACTGTGTTTCCTATTCTCTCCCACCCTCTCCCTTACCTTCTTTCCCTTTGTCTAATACAGTGAACTTCTATTCTTTCTCACCTCTCTTTTCTGTGTGTTAGCATCCACATATCAGAGAAACCATTTAGCCTTTGGTTTTTGGGGTTTGGCTCATTTCACTTAGCATGATTGTTTCCAGTTCTGTCCGCTTACCAGCAAATGCCATAGTTTTATTCTTTATGGCTAAGTAATATTCCATGTATAGGACTGGAGTTGTAGGTCAGTGGTAGAGCACTGGCTTTGCACATGTGAGGCCCTGGGTTTGATCCTCAGTACCATATAAAAATAAATAAATAAAATAAAGGTTTTGTGTCTATCTACAAATAAAAAGTATTTTTAAAAGAATCCATTTGCGTATGTGTGTGTGTGTATATATATATATATATATATCACATTTTCTTTTTTTTAAGTAAAATACTTTTTTTCATAACTAACATGACATTTAAAATATTGGAAACAGTATCTGTGCTGATTTGTATTTTGACTTAATGGAACAAAAAGAGAACAACCTTCAGTTGGGGAGGGGTATACTGATAATAAATCTCTTAAAGTTCAAAACATCTTCCTCTCCCTTTGTACTTACCACAGGCTATACATTGTCCTGAGAGGATTCATTAAGAAAAATGTCAATCACAGCTTTAATAAAGTACTTTGTAAGGAACTAATGAGAAAGCAAACTGGAAGTAGAGACTTCATCTTGTTTTCAAATTAAGTGGTCTTATTTTTTCTTCTTATATAAAAAAATTGAAATCAATTTATTATAAATATATCTAAACCATTAATTTTTGCAGCTTTCAGGTAAAGCTTCAGCACTTTGTTCATATAAAGTCTATGAGAAGAGGTCAGTAGAGATCATCTAATCTTAAGTTGTGACATCGTCCATTCAAGTCCTTGGCATAATCCCTCGCCAGTAAGAGCACAGCATGCCTGGATATGCCACTGATGATCTTTAATAGAAGTTAGCTTCAAAAACTGGGAGATTTCTGCTACACTCGTGCATTCTTTTTCACATTTTCTTTATCCATTCATCTGTTGAAGGGCACCTAGATTGGTTCTATATTTTAGCTATTGTGAATTGAGCTGCTATAAACATTGATGTGATATAAATTTGTATATAGCTATTTTTCTCTTGATATGGTTGTTTATAATTTGTATTAGTTATAATTTATGATTATGTAACTGAATATATATGAAAATGTATGATCAGGAATTTAGTTGCCATTATATTATATTCATATGTATAGAATGTATATAAACACATAGGAATATATATATGTAAAAATATATATGGATATTCAAACTAAAATAAATAAATAAATAAAAAATTTCCTTATCCAATAAAACTTTGATGGATAGGAAAAAAAAAAAACATTGGGGATATGGCTGCATCACTGTAGTATGCTGATTTTTAAGTTTTTTGTGTATGTGCTGAGGCGTGGGATAGCTGGGTCAAATGGTGGTTCTATGCCAAGTTTTCTGAGGAATCTCCGCATTGCTTTCCAGAGTGCTTGCATCAATTTGCAGTCTCACCAGCAATATATGAGTGTACCGTTTCTCCCACATCCTTGCCAACATTTATTGTTACTTGTATTCTTCATATTTGCCATTTGACTGGAGTGAGGTGAAATCTCAGTGTAGTTTCAATTTGCATTTCTCTCATTGCTGGTGATGTTGAACATTTTTCCATATATTTGTTGACCATTTATATTTCTTCTTCTATGAAATGTCTGTTCAGTTTCTTTTCCCATTATTGATTAGGTTATTATTTTGTGTGTGTGTGTGTGTGTGTGTGTGTGTGTGTGTGTGTGAAGTTTTTTCAGTTGTTTATATATCCTGGATAATAATGCTCTATTTGAGGTGCAGATGGCAAAGATTTTTCTCCCATTCTCTAGTTCTCTCAGAGTGATCATGCAGGAACCTGGGGCAGAATAAAGCATGACTCTAATAAAATATTCTTTGAAAATTGTTTATTATGGTAAATTTTAACACAAAGTATCCACTCATGGCTAATCTTATTTTATTAATATCCACACTCACTTTCCCTCACTTGGAGCTAAACAAATCTATAACATGTTTCACCAGTAAATACGTTAGTATGTACCATACTGAGAGGTATGGTACAGTCTAAAATTCACACCCTATTTTAGGGTTTCTTTACTAAGAACTTCCCTTACTGGAGACCAGCTGTCCTCTGGGTCTCCTGTCACACCCAGAGATATAGCTGCCTATAAATTATCTTATGTCTGCATCAGTGGCTACTTATTACCGGATCACAGTGGGGTTCTGTTTCCAGGTATGGAAGTATAGTAGTAATCCCTGGATATTCCCTCCTAGTGTATTTTTCTTTTCTTTTTTTCTTTCTTTTTTTTTTTTTTTTTTTTAGGACAGAGCTTCTCCATATAGCTAGAATTTTTTTGTCTTAAAAAAAAAATCTGTTTACTTTCCTTAGGATTTCCTTAACCAAAATGAATATGTTTCTGTTAAACCCACAACTCTAAGAATATGCTAGTCTAATGACTGTTCTTCCTCCTGCACTGTGACATCATGAGCTGCCTGTGACACCATGCCTGTTTGTCCCAAGCCACCAGAAATCTAAAGCCCTCTCTACCCTGTTGAATTCAGAGGCTCTCTCAGAGCGACTTAGACTGCCACCATTTTATCCTGAGCTTGTTTTGTTTGGGTAACCCGAACCCCTTTTTTTCACAGGAGAGTACTGGAAGGGCAGTATGATGAGGATCACCAGCCACTGAGGGATGGAGAGAGATCCCACAGAGCCCAGATTCAGCAACAGCAGTGCTGTGTGGAGGCTTTGAGGCAACGAATCCTAGCAGGACGGATTACAGCTGAAAGGGAACTAGCATTGAACCAGGCATACATCAGCCAGGAAACTAAAGACAGTAAGTACCCACCATTTCAGGTTTCTGCCTTACCTAGTTCTTCCATTGTTATGTTTCCATAGCTCTTTGCAGTCTCTGTTTTCTTGGTGATTTGATGGACTCTTTGGTATTAGGTATTTTCTCCCTGCTTTGAGAGACTAGAGGCTCTTCCATGGGGGCTGAAAACAAGAAGGAAGCTAACTTCTTTATGGCTCCTCAGAATGACAGGCCTCCTACTCATTCTTTTTTATTGACACACTTGTCCAAACTTTTCTGCCTGCCCTAATGTGTGCCCACTACTGTACTAAGGCCTAGGGGTCTTTGTTTCCCTCCCCTGTGGTAAGGAGGCTCTGTAGCCCTTGCTCTGCCACGTAACTCTAACCAGAACTTTTACTTTACACAGGTCCAACCTGGTTGGATATATCTGAGCCCAGGCAGCCATAGGCAGGGAGCGATGCGCTGACTTTCTTTCTGCTGTTTTTGGTTCCCAGACCAGCAGTGGCTGCTCAGAGAAGAATCCTGGCTGTACAGCTTACAGGAACAGCAGCAACAAGAAGACTGTGGCACAGGGAAAGCATTTGAGGCCTCTTTGGCACCTAATGCTTGGCTTCAGACACATCCTGATACTCCACCATCCCCACTGGTCCCCAAACAGAAGAGACTGGTGCAGCTGCAGCTCCTGCGGAGACACGCTCTTCGGGCAGCAGAAGGGAACATCTGGCGTAAAAAGGTCTTATTCCAGCTAGACAGAAGCATCAGGAAGCAGAGGCTGCTGGAGTCCCAGAAGAGACTGGAGCAGTTCAGGGCATTGTGCTGGTTCCAGGATGACAGCAGACACAAGTCCCCATGCTTGGCCCCCAACTCTAATGCCACTGTCCCAGGGCCTCAACATAGAAGCAAATGGACAAGTTGCAGTTCTTTGAGCCTCCAAAGGCTCTACAGCCAGCACTTGCCCCACCTGCACAGGTACAAGCCAATGGTTGTCATCTGGAAGCCCTTAGCTAGGCAGTGTTCTTTATTCCCCAGTGCCTCAGTTTCCTCAGTCATTAAATGGGAAAAAATCTGTTTATTCCTCTCTTCCTCATCACTTTTTCCTCTTCTGGCTTCTCTTCTTTCTCTGTATCTTTTGAGAGTCAAGTTTCTACCTACTCTCTCCCTCTCAGAGTACCATTATTTACTACTGTTATCTTCTGGGTAAGGAGATTACTCATTTTTCATCTGCTCTTCAGACCCTGACTATCCATGCATACTTCTTGTATGTCCTTCTACCACCTTAGTCTCATCCTGCCTCCAACCAGACTTCTTTATTTCCACATGCTGCCTCCCTCTCCCTTACCCCCTTGACCTGTCACATCAAGAGAGCTCCCTAAGTCAGACAGTGGCACATGCCTGAAATTTCAGCTACTCAGGAGACTAAGGCAACTTAGCATGACTCTGTCTCTAAATAAAGTAAAAGACTAGGGATGTAGTTCAATGGTAGCACACCTCTAGGTTCAATCCCCATTATGTCAAACAAAACAAAACAAAAAAACTACCACCATACACATGAGGGAGCTTCCTGACTCCCTGGTGAGCTCTTTCTGACTTAGAGGTTCTTTTTTAAAATATTTTTTTAGTTGTCAGTTGACCTTTATTTTATTTATATGTGATGCTGAGAATTGAACCCAGTGCCTCACACATGCTAGGCAAGTGCTCTACCACTGAGCTACAACCCTAACTTCAGCACCTCATAGGTTCTTTTTTTTTTTTTTGGGGGGGGGGGCATACCGGGGATTGAATTCAGGGGCATTCGACCACTGAGCCACCTACCCAACCCTATTTTGTATTTTATTTATAGACACCATCTCACTGAGTTAACACTCACTTAGCACCTTGCTTTGCTTTTGCTGAGACTGGCTTTGAACTCACAATCCTTCTGCTCAGCCTCCTGAGCCTCTGGGATTACTTGTGCCACCGAACCTGGCTCCCTCATAGGTTCTTTTTTTTTAGTTGTTGATGGATCTTTTAATTAATCAATTAATTAATTTATATGTGGTGCTGAGAATCAAGTCCTTTCGAACCCATGCTAGGCAAGTGTTCTACCCCTGTTTATCTTCTCCTTCACTACCTATATGCCATAAAGCAGAAGGATGAGTTATCTCTCAGACTCCTCTAAGCAGGGCCTGTATCTTATTCCTCTTTATATCCTCAAGGTCTAGCACAGGACCTTGCCCGTAGGAGGCTCACAATTAAGTCTGTTATATTAACTCACTTCTCTGATCCTCAGAGTAAGAAGTAGACTTTTTTCTCTCAACTTTTCACCATTGAAAATTTTCACACATATATAAAGTTGAGAAAATAGTTTGTATATTACTCACATCCAGCAGTTATCAAGATTCCTCACAGTTGATTTATCTCCCCACATTCCTGATTTTTGAAGTATTCTAAAGCAACTCTTAGACATTATGTCACTTCAACACTACATCCTTTAGTATACACTTCTAAAATAATGGAGTATTCTTATAACACTGTCATTATCACACCTTCCAAAATTAAGATTAATTACCTGATAAAATCTTTAACCTAGGCCACATTTAAATTTCTCAAGTTGCCTCAAAAATATCTATTTGTACTTGTTTTTTCAAATCAAGATCCAAATAGGATTTAATACTACATGTGATATATATAAAAGTTTCTTTTATTTACTATTTTTGTTTTTATTTCCTCACATCATTGATTGGTTAAAGAATGTGTGTTGGTTCTGTAGAATGTACCACTTTATAGATTTATCCATTTGATTCTATTCATTTTATTGTTCATTTTTCTTCACCTTGCCTAAAGGCATGCTTAGAGTCAGTTTAATTTTTGTTATAAGAGAAACAGAGTAAGAGTATGGTACATCTGGGAGAGCCAGGCCTATAGTCCACAGTTTTCTTTTGTATCTGTTGTGTTTTTCTCTGACCCTGAATGTCTCTGATTGTAAGACACAGTGACATTGGATCTGATTTTTAACACTTTCAGAGCAAACTAAGTGGAACTTCATATTCCTTCTGTCAATAGGATGTAGAGAACCTCTAGCTTTTTCTGAGATGACTTTCCTTGTCTTCACAGGGTTTTTCTGAATTGGGACCTCTCTACTATGTTACCACCTATGCCTGACCCAACTCATCACATATCAGAGAAAAATCCATCAGAATATCATTTTCCCCAGACCGCTGCTTACCCTCCAAATACAAGGTGTCTCTGCAAAAATGGCCTCCATTCCCCAGGCCAGGCACAGCTGTATACAGCTAGAGGAGCCTTGACCAGGAAGGGAGCCTCAACACCACACACCTGCCTCACTGTGAGCAGTGAGTCTGTTGATATTCAGGAAACGAAGAGAGTGGGTAAATGGCCCTATTGGATGGTATCTCGGGGCTTAACAAGTCTGTGCCAGTCAACCAACAAGCTAAAGCCAAGGGAAGGACCAAAGATCCTCACCGCTACCTCCCAAACCAGAAAGGCTAAGGGACTAGTGGACTCTAGCAGCAGTACACAAGCTGGGTGGCAAAAAGAAGAGAACCTTGGGATCCATGAGGCTGCTAAGGGAACCAGTTGCAGTTTCTCCTATCCCCATGGACTCAGGGAGGCAGCTAGGCTTGGAAAAATAGCCAAGACTTTTCAGGCAGAATCCAAACCACCTCCAAACAGGGCATTACAACAACATCAGAGAGTGCCAGCAGCTAGGATCAGAGACATTGCCAAAAAGTCTTCTCATTTGTCTAATAGCAGTTCTTTAAAGAAACAATGCAGTGTAGACGATCCAGGCAACATGACTTCACTTACAGATTCCAGCCCAATAGTAGATTGTGCCAGAGAAAAAGAAAATGATTTATCTGACACAGATAGCAATTACTCAGTAGATTCTCTCTCCTTTGTCTATGCCAAATCTTCATTGTTGAAGCTACTGAAACCAGAGGACCCTCGAGGAAAATGGGATCACCCAGAGCCAGAGAACTCCGAAAGTGACAACAGCCAAATATCTGAGGACTCATTGACTGAGAAAGGGTACCAAAGCCCCAAAGAAAGTCCCCAGTCTAGTCTTCCCACCAACAACCATGTCCACCCAAGGAACAGAGCTGGATCCTCCGTACAGGACTTCACCACATCCTCAGACTGTGGTCTACTTGCTCATAGGAGCTTTTCCTTGGATAGTCTGATTAATGCTGAGAAAGAACTGGGGGAAGGTCAACAAGGAGTAACTTTTCTTGATTCATCTGATGAGATGCCCACAGAGACGTTCTGGCACCTGCAGAATCCCATTCTGCCTATAGTAGACCAAGAGGTAACATGCAGACATGGGTCCACCTACCACAGAACAGGAGCTATGCTGAATGCCATCCTGCCAATGAACAGTTCATTTTACCTCAATCCTGAGCTCCAGCTCCATTGCAAGCAGCCTGAGTCACATGTGGAGGTAAGCTACTCTGAACCAACTGACTCTCTCCAAGGCATACAGGTGTCAAGAGGGAGCCCTCTGGTGTCCATGGATTCCTGGTTTTCCTGTGACTCTAAAATCAATCCCAGTTCTTTATGTCCAAGTCCTGATGTCCAGGAAGTTCAGCCCTGTGGTGAGGAAAGGCCTGGATACTGGCTGAATATTGGAAAACTAAAGCCATTAGGTACAGAAACAGTCCTCCAATGTAGCTCAAAATTTCCCCAAGGCAGTACTGAGCTGCCTTGCAATGCAAGAGTTGTGTACCCAACCTCTACTTCTGATACATCCAAGTTGTCACTTTGGGAAGCTCAAAGTTTTCTCCAGCCAGCAGCTGATGGCAGCTTTCAGGGCATAAGTATTACTGATACAACGCAACATGGCAGCTCTGAAGTTTCCCATGATTCTAGTGTGCCAACTGTGCTGGCTCCCTCTGCCGCCTCGTTCATTTATGTAGGCAGTACCCATGAAGGGGACTGGGCTGCACTTCAGCAGAAGTACCTTCTTGAACTCTCTCATCCTGTTTTGGAGGCTGTAGGAAAGCCCAGGCTAGCTTTCCCCTGCCCTGAGGAAGACTCTAGTTCCCTGGCTGAAGCTTCTGGAAAAGGAAAAGATACTCGATTGTCAGTTGGTTCTGGGTTATCCACCAGTTCAGATTTCAACAACTTTCCAATCCATCTATCCAAAATCAAGCATTTGAGAGCAGAAAAAAACCAGGACAGTTTGAGAGCCAAATTAGAAATTGCTTCAGATTTCCTTAGCACTAGTGAGAAAGAAGTGAGTTGTAATGGAGCTTATTCAGCAGACTTAGAATCATTGGCTTCCGGATCAGAGAAAAAGATACAAAATTCTATGAAAAAAACATGTGAAATTAAACAGAATAACTTGAAAGAGAGCTTTAACAGTAGAAAACCTGGACTGATAACTTCCTCTGAAGAGTATTTCCTCCAGAATAATGCTTATCACAATAACATCACTGTATCCACCAAAACAGACCATTGGCCCCAAGGCCAGGCTCCTCTCAGAAACAATAGTACAGTTCATCCAGAGCAATTAAGTCAAAACAGCCACCACCACCTACAGAAAGAGAAAGTAGATTGCCAAAAGAGCTCTAAGGAAGTAGTTGAAAGATATACAAATGTTTCCTTTGCCTTTCCATCAGGTCCAGAGCTGTACCTCCACTCAGCTCCCTGGAATCCTTTCCCATCTTCCCTGCAGCCACCTCCCTTGGAAACATTCTACATAACCAAAAGCAGGGATGCCCTGACAGAAACTGCCTTAGAGATTCCAGCTTACAGAGAAGTACACGTGCCTTCGCCACCCCCCAGGGAAGCCTGGGGCTTTGGTTACAACCACCAAGACCTTCAGGAAGCTTGTTTGAAGAATGATTTACCAGTGATATTTCAAAATTCCAAGGTCGCCGCATCTCAGCAGGTCACAGCAGAGATGCCAGTTGATCTGAAAACTAGGGAAGCTATTGGAGAGTTAGGGAAATGTGCTGGAAATATTAAAGAAGAAAGTCATAATTCAGTTTATGTTTTTGTTACTCAGAACAGACATTTTCTCCCTTCTACCAGCACAAAAGTATATGAATCTAAAAATCAAATTGGAATTTTAAGTAAAAAGCACAATCTTCCAGCTCTGAAGGAGGGAAAAAAGGCCACTGTGCAGTCTCATTGCAGTGTTTCTTCAGGTAGTTCTGTGTCTGGAAAACCTTTCTTTTTTGTTGGTGGATCTGAAACAGGTGGGGAAGACGAGCAGAATCAGAATGCAGTCCTGCAGCAGATTCAGGTCTGTGATATAAACAGACAGATTCCTTCTGGAGCCAGGTCTGATTTCATCTGTAAAACAACCAGTGTAGACCTTGAAAAGGATGTGGTAGGGGAAACTACTGTTTCTTCAAAGTTCAGATCAGTGCATCATAGAGTAAGCAGCCATATCCTCATGGCCCAGGATGAGAGCCTAACCCATAAGTGGGAAGGGAGGAATGAAATTGGGCTTCTTGGAAAAGCTTTTCACCCCAAAAACATCCCAGAAGAGTTTAAGCTTCCAGGGATAGAGTCTACCTATGAAAGATTTCAATCAGTTACATATGCTCAAGAAAGAAAGCCCAGTGAATGCAAGGGCCCAGGAGAGTCACAAGAAATATCAAACTACAAAGAAGAACCTTTGGGAAAGAAAAAAAATGAAAGAATTAGTAATGCTGATGAAATGGCTAGGCTAATTAGAAGTGTGATGCAGCTAGAAAATGACATCTTAGAAATTGAATCCAAGCAGCTTCATGCTTCCTCCACACCAGGTATCAGTAAGGAGTTTGTGTTCCAGGACCAAAGAGACCAGGAGAGTGATGACCATGTTCTGAGGCCAGGCAGCTCTGGAAACAATTTGTCCTTCAAAGATCAGCCATCTTCTCCAAGACAGGCAGATGGAATTATTTTTAATGATAGTGAAACTAGGGAAATGGAGGTAAATAGTCCTACTGTGGATGATCCTCAGGCACAGAGAATCACCCTGAGTCCCTTGAGTTCAAGGGAATGTGTAAAAGAGAGTCAGTCTGTAAGAGAGCACACCTACCTAGCTGGATTAGACAGACCTGCTAGGAATACATGTGATTCTTTAGGAAAAGACTCAACTCACAGAGAGTCTACCAATACTTCTCTTCACCCAAGGAGAATGAAAACATTGACTAGAGTGCTGTCCTTGCAGCCCAGGCCAGAAAGGTTTGAAAAGGGTGATGAGCTGGTAGATGCATCAGCAAACCCCAAAGAGCAACCTTGGAACTTAGGAAATCTTGAAGAACTGGAGACTATGAAAGGGTTTTTGGAAAGCCAAATTGCCAGACACCAAAGTAGTTCCAAGCCAGACAGACCAAAAGCTCAAGGTAAAATTGAAGAAATGGCCATGCAAAAGGAAGGGAGCCTACAAGATGAAAATAATATGGTGTTATCAACTCAGAAACATCCTAGTTCAAGCCAGCACCCTATGGGCACATTTTTCAACCAGGAGACTATCTTCCCATTACTGAGCCAAACAGATTTCTCTACAGCTCCTTCTCACCAAGATCTGAGCAATACCTTGCCCTTGCATTCTCCAAGACTGCCAAGAAGTTATATTCATTCCTTTGTTACTGAAGAAGGCATCTCTTCATTTGAGTATGTGCTGAATCCTACAGTATTGAAAATTCATAACAGTCCCTTAATAACTGAAATTGATTATCAGAACCAGAGTGGAGAGACCAGAAGCCACAGCCCTCAGGGAAATGATAGAGGGGGCTCTGCCATGGAACACTCTGCTTGGTGTGGATCTGTGATACATAGAGCCATGGGATCTCATGGTCAGTCTAGTGCACCAGAGAACACTCCCCCAGGGACAGAGGACAGAATAACAGCAAGCACCAGCCCCCAACACCAACAAGGGGAACTCAGAATCACTTTGATGGGATTGAGTACTCAGGAAGGTTTTGGTTCTGAAGTTGAGGCAGCTATCCAAAAAGAAATACGAGCCAGTTCCTTGAACAGTATCTCTAGGCAGTTTGAAAAGAGGGTCAGCTTCTCCTTAGAAGAGAACAGTGACCAAGGCAAAGGGGCAAGGCAAAAGGCAGAGAAGGAGTCTGAGGACCCAGGCTTCCCTACTAGTGGGGCTTGTTTAGCACCTGTTTCCCTGCCTAGGGTGGCTGATCCAGAGCCCAGGCAGTCAGAGCATTCTGTCCCTATATCCATGTGCCTGGCTATCTTGGAGGAGGTCAGGCAGGCAAAGGCCCAGAGAAAGCAACTTAATGACTTTGTGGCTGGGGGGACAGTCCTTCCTTGCTATGAAACTTCACTAGAACCTGAATGTTCTTCAGGGGCCACTGGCAGGCAGTGTAAGCAAATGGACCAGTTAGTGTCGGATGGGATCAGGAATGAGGGTGAAGCACAGGCATTGCATGTAGCATCTCTGTCTGCTACACCAAGACATCTGTTGACTGATGAAGGGAAATCCCAAGCCATACCCCTCTGTGAAAACAGCTTTCCATCTCTGCCCAACACTGAAACTAACAGAGGGCCACAGCATCCTTCACAGGCTTCCTCTCATGTTGCCCCTGCTTTGGACAAAGGGCATTGTACTAGAGAACTGAGACATGTCCTTGGAGCAAGTGAACAGTTTATATGTCACCCTGGTTCTCCTGAAATCACAGAGAAAAAGAAAGAAGCATCCAGAACACCTTCCTATGCTGATCCTTTGGCCTGCAGTGGGCTTTTTTCACCAGCTGTAGAGAGAGACAGAAGAGTGGGATCAGAAAAAGCAGTGTCTGTCTTTTCTTCTCAGGCCCCTTGTGATGATCCTGGGTTGATTCTGCATGAACAAAGTCAGTCAGCTGCAGGGGAGACTGCAGAGGACTTGTCTTCTGGCATTCAGGACAGCAGCCCAGAGCAGGAACTTAAAACTCAAGGCACCACATATGAAGGAGGCTTGGATAACTTCTCTGTGAGTGCACAGGGAAAAAAAGCAGCTCATTTTGAAAGTCAGTCTGTGATCTGTAATGTTCAGAATTCTTTAAGCTGCTTAGGGCCTAAGCAAGACTATGTCCAATGCCCCGAGGTTTCCAATGGCTCAGAAGAAGGGAAAGCAAGTCCAAAACTACATGCTGTTCTGCCTGGAGGCCTGAGAAGCATTGAACTGGAAGCTCCCACACAGCAGCCTGAGAAGTGGAAGGGGAATGTTGGGTCTGGGCTGGCCGAAACCTGTAGGTTTGGCAGCATAAATCCCAGGTCAACCCCATTGCAAGATCAAAGACCTTGCAGATGCCCAGAGGAAACCAGAGATCCCCTTGTCTTCTCAGGGAACACTGAAAACAGCAGGACTCTCAGTTCATCTAGAGAAGAAGAAGAGAGCAGAACTGTTCCTTGCCAACAACTCTGCAATTCGCAACCCATTGCTACTCATGCCTCTCCCTCCCATTGTTCCATTTCATTGGTTTATAGAGATGGTGACCTGGAGAAAGGAATTCCCAAGGCTGCCCTACATCCTATCCACCCACCCTTCATAGTAGCTTCTAGGGTCTGTGAAATGCATCAGATAGGAGAGAGTTCTTCTAAAGAATCCCATGTGCTCTTGGCACATGGCCTTGAGCCCAAAGGCTTTCATATGGAACTTGGGCCAATAGACAGCCCCAGTTTTGAGCCCTCTACTAGAACATCTGTTCTATCTTTAGCTCAAAGTTCCAGCTCCCTTTCTACCCCTGATATAAGGACAAGTTCCCTCATCCACTCAGCTGCTGAAGGAAGTTCAAGGTCCATAGGGAATCAAGAAGAAAAGCTTGCTGAGAAAGCTAGCCCAGAAGTTGAGGTTGTCTCTTTCCCAGCAGCCATGTACTCTGAGCCACTGAGGAATCTGAAAGATAGCTCTGTATGTGGCCACAATGTGCAGGCATCTCAAATGAAGCCAGAAACACTTGCAACAACTCACAGACCACACACCCTAAATTTAAATGAGAGCTCAGTTGAAAGTGAGCTGGTGGTTGTAGAGCCACAACTCAAATGTTTAAGAAAAACCATCAGATGCCTTTCAGAAAAGCTACAGTCTTCCGCCGAGTCCAGGGATCACAACTGCTCGAATCCTCCTGCCAAACTTGTAACAAGGTTAAAACCTATCTGCTATCCTCAGATTGACAGTCTTTGGGAGGAGGAAGAGCAGCAGAAAGATCAGGCTTTAGGAGGTAGTGAAGACCCTATCCAGGTCAGGAATTCCCCACCCTCTAATGAAGGTGATTTGGACAGCTGTCACACTAGCAGTGCTAGAAGAGAGGAGATGTCTGTCCCCAAGACTCCTGAATCCCAGACTTCCTTATCAGCCTTTGAAGACCTAGCTTTTGCTCCTCTGGAGCAAAGTAAAGTTCCACAGTCTGCTGCCCAGAGGCCTAGCCAGCACTGCTTTGATAAGGAGCAACTAGCTCCCCACCGTAAGTGCTCACTTCCTGTAATTGCAGTTTTCTCTGGCCCCAAACACTCCAAGTCCTATCCCAGACCCCAGTTCTCTGTGGTCAGCTCATCTCGATCTCTTCAGGAGCTGAACTTGAGTGTGGAGCCTCCGTCCCCTATAGATGAAGACGCATCAGGGCCTAATATATTGTGGGACCCACATCTCAAGACCTATTCCTTGGAAAATCAGGTGTCAAGAATGTCTACAAAGGCTGAGGTTTGTAGTCAGAAAGTTTCATCTAACTTGGACAATGGCCATGCTGATCACAGACCCCCGAAACCTTCCACCCCTCCCTACCCAACGTCTTCCACACGCTCATGCATGCCAACCCCTGATTTAATGACCGGCTGGATGTCTAGTTCTTTGGAACAGGCCCAACAAGGGAAGCCAGAGAAATTGGGTATCCAGATTAGGCCAGAGAATTGGTACTCTCAGATGGACAAAGAAATGTTGCACTTTGGTTCCAGTGATATCAATCCCTGCCTTCTACCCTGGTGTCCAGAGGAACCTGTACACATTGGTTGGAAACAATATGTCTTTGGTAGTGCAGTCGATGTCTCCTGCACCCAGAAACCCCATGGCCTGATACCATCAAATGTGGCCAGGTGCTCCAGCATGGACAGTGACTTAGAAGAACAGAGCTCCCCCTTCCACTCTCACCTCAGTACTTTTGCCAAAACCCAGGACTTGTCAAGCACACACAGCAGCACTGATAATATCCAAGGTTCAAATGAGGCCTGGGAAGTATGCAGTTCCTTGTTTCCCTTGAGGGACTCCCACGTTCTTACAGGCCGTGAAGGACTAGCCCCCATTTTGGGTTCTGACAAGAAAACCCAGTTCAAGGGCACCATTGATGAAGCAGGCTGTCTGAGGAGTGAGCACACCCTTCCTTCAGCTGAAGGAAGTTCTGCAGGTCTACTTGATGAGATTGTGTTGCTGTATCCACCGGAGGCAGACTGTCCTGTGGGACTGACCAGAACGAATACCTTTGAGCAAGGCACACAGACTCTGGGCTGCAGGCTCCCCTGGAGCTGTGCCAATATCTCCTCTGCTCAGCCTGATGCCAGTACAGGGTCAGCCTCTGACCTGACCTCCTGGACCAGCATGCACAACCTATCTCTCCACCTCTCACAACTCCTGCACAATACCTCAGAGCTACTTGGGAGTCTCTCTCAGCCAAGTGTGGGCAAAAAAGAACAGAGCACCAGAAGAAACACACCAGATGAGGCCCCACAAGCCCTTATGATGGATGGTACTACTCAGACCACTGTGGATGAGGAAATCCAGACTGACCTGGCCTTATCCCCTCTGGACCTCCAAACCTCTGAAGCCAAATCTCAGGAAGTCAGTGTGATCCTTCAAGTTCTGGGCTCAGATATTTCAGCCATGTCTCAACAGAAGGAAAATATCCCAGAGACACTTCAGAGTACAGAGGCAGAGGAAACATCATGGAAAATGGCAGTACCCCCAGATCTTCATGAGGAAAGCACCCACCATAGGCTGCAGAGCCCTCTAATACCGTTATCCCACAAAAGGGAGGTACTGTCCAACCTGCCTTCTATAAGCCCACCAGCATCTCCCAATGCTTCCTTGCCTCCCAGTTCCCAGCCAGAGGAATCTTCTTGCATGGTTGTCAATAGCCCCAACTGCAGCATCTGTCTTACCCCTGGCCTCTTCCCCAGTACTTCAGGGGGGTCCAACCAGGAACCTGAGGTCCAGGAGAAGCTGAGCCCTGGGAGTGCCTTGATGGTGGACAGGGCCTCTTCTCCAATCCTCACATTTAGTGCTAGCACACAAGAGTCAGGTCTGCTCTCAGGTGCTCTGATTCTTTCTGCTCCCTCTGATTATGCTCTTGAAAGCCACCAGAAGCTGGACTCCAGCCCAGACCTTGTCTTTGGTGCTCCAAGACCTCCAATGGATAATTATTCTCAAACTGCTGATAAGTTAGGTGGCTCCCAGAGAGTTGAGACTCTGGGTAGAGAAGGCACAAGTTCCTTAAGAAGGAGTAATGAGAGCTTGTTCCTTGAGTCAAACTCTCCTTGCACCACACAGCAGAGTCCCAGACTCCAAGTTAGCCTCTTAGGGAAGCCCCCTCAGCAGCTGCAGCCCAGGGCCACCACTGAGGTCCAAAGTAGACTGCCACCTCTACCACCATGGGACAAGAGCCAGAGGCTGGCCAATAGCTTTGTGCCTGAAGAGGTGGCTTCCCCAGAGCATAGCTTGCTGAGCACTAGGGGGCCAAGTCCGTGGCAGAGCAATCCAGAAAATGAAGGGGAGAATTCAATACTTCTGGTGGAGCCACAGCCTACTCTGAACCTCGCCTCTTCAAGGAGAAGCCTCCAGCACTTCAGCCCTCATCCTGTCTCTGAGTTGACTGATACTGCAAGCCTTCAAGGTTCTAATGTGGACCAACCTCAGGCTTGCCAACCTGAGGGGATGCCATGCCCCAGTTCCCAGGCATGCATTGCCCCCCAGCGTTGCAGCCTGAGGGACCTCCTGGTACATAACAAACTTAGTAACTGGGATGGGGTTCAGAATGACTCTTTTGGGGAATTGAGTGTAAGCAAGGAACTGGGGGCCATCACTGATCTCAGCCCTGGGGAGCAGATTCAGAAGCCCCCACAACCTCCTGATGACCAGAGCCAGGATCCTGAGTGGTCCCAGAGGGAGCAGATTCCCCTACAAGTTGGAGCCCAGAAGCCGTCACTCAGCCTGGAACTCACAGAAGCAAAACTGCACCATGGCTTTGGGGAGGCAGATGCACTGCTTCAGGTGCTGCAGAGCGGAACAGGGGAGACACTTGTTCCTGAAGAACGTATGATGTCCACCTGGGAGGAGCTCTATGCTAGGTAAGGGTCCCAGCCTGAAGGGCAAGGGTGGGTTGAGGTAAAAGAACCTGAGAAAGCTAATGGCTGAACTTTTCCCTCTGTCCTTGCTCATTTGGGAATATTCCAGAGAGGGTCAGAGAGAGCTTGGGGGAAGGACACTCAGGTACAGTTTCAGTGACTCAATTCCATTTTGTTGCAGGCAAAAAAAAGCCATCGAGACCCTCAGGAGAGAGCGGACTGAGCGACTTCAGAACTTCCGCAGGACAAGAAGCCCCCCAAAACAACTGAGCCTCCTACCCAGCAGGGATCTCCTGACCCACAACTTTGACTTGCCCAGCAGGCGCCGAGAATACCTGCAACAACTGAGGAAGGATGTTGTAGAGATCACCAGGTGAAGATGGTCCCAGAACCCTGCAGGGAGCAGGCTCTGTGTGGTAGAGGGGATCATGGGGAGCGGGGGCTGGAGTTTTAACATCTGGGAGGGCCCTACATGCCTGTGGTCAAATGGAAGTGAATGTGGGAGACCAGAGCAAATGGAAAAAATAGTGTGTAAGAGGGAACATAAGAGAGAATAGTGTGTAAGAGATGAGAAGGGGTTGGACAGAGAAGTTATGGGAAAGTATAAACAATGGCTCTGATACAAAGCAAACCTACAGACATGGACCTCAGAATGCCTTGTTCCTCTCTGTCTAGCAATCTACCTAAGGTTGTAAAAATCAAACTTCATGACCCTGTGGGCAAAGGGAGGAGGGGATCTTCAAGAACATGGCATTGAGCTAGACTTGGGTGGGCTGGCCAGGACTGTCATGTAAGAAGATACCTTTCCATCCTGTGATCTTCTACAGGAGCCCTGAGTCAGCATCAAGGTCTGCTCCCTCACCCTCTGACATTGATCTGATGCTGCGCAACTATCAGCGGGCCCGTGAGGAGGCCAAGTCGGAAATTGCCAAGGCACGGGACAGATTGAGGGAGCAAACTGAACAAGAGAAGTTGAGAATCCGTGAGCAGATCATCTCCCATCTGCTGAGGGTGAGGAATGGGGTGACTTCAGGATTGACTGGGACAGACCTGGAAACTGGGGTAGCCTTCACTGTGGTGGTCTGAGTCTGAGGATATAATACTTAGAGGAGAGCTGGCACCAAGGGCACCAAAGCTGGGCTCACTGTTTTTTTCAATTGTTTTTTTTAGTTATACATTACGCAAGCATCCATTTTGACATAATTATACAAGCATGGAATATATCTTGTTCTAATTCAGGCCCCAGTACTTCTGCTTCCCCTTTCCTCCCCCACTTCCTGTTCCCTTCCCTCTATTCTACTGATCTTTCTGCTGTTTACCCAATTTTTTAAAAAATTTAATTCTTGTGGGTGTATATGATGGTGAGATTCATATATGTGCATAGGAAAGATATGTCAGATTCATTCCACTGTCTTTTCTTTTCCCATCTCTCCTCCCTTCTCTTCATTCCCCTTTGTCTACTCCACTGAACTTCAATTCTTTTTTTTTTTTAATCGACCCATATTGTGGGTTAGCTTCCACTATCAGAAAAACATTTGACCGTTGGTTTTTGGGAATAGCTAATTTTACTTAGCATGATAGTCTTCAGATCCATCCATTTACCAGCAAATGTGATAAAGTCATTCTTCTTAATGGCTGAGTAATATTCCATTGTGTATATATACCACATTTTGTTTATTAATTCATTTGTAGAAGGGCACTTAGGTTGACTCCATAGCTAAGCTATTGTGAATCGATGTGGTTGCGTCACTGTAGTATGTTGATATATACCAAGGAGTGGGATAACTGGGTCAAATGGTAGTTTCATTCCTAGTTTTTTGAGGAATCTCCATGCTGTTTTCCAGAATGGTTGCACCAATTTGCAGTCCCACCCACAATTTATTTATTTATTTTTAATATTTTTAAAATTTTTTTAAAGAGAGAGAGAGAGAATTTTAATATTTATTTTTTAGTTTTCGGCGGACACAACATCTTTGTTTGTATGTGGTGCTGAGGATCGAACCCGGGCCGCACGCATGCCAGGCGAGCGCGCTACCGCTTGAGCCACATCCCCAGCCCCCCACCCACAATTTATGAGGGTACCTTTCCCCCCACATTCTTACCAACATTTATTATTACTATTTTCTTGATAATTTGGGCTCACTTTTTTGACATCCTCATCAGACTGGGCTCCTATCTTCAGCTGATATATAGTCAGGGTGGGGAAGTATGGAAGTGAGAGGCCATGGTGGGAGGCATTGGGGGGTAAGTAATGGGAGCTGTGGAAGAGATGGTTTGGGAAAGGAAATGTGGGTAGTGAGGGTGCATCAGGAGCTAGATGATGATGATCTGTTCTTCTCAGGAAGAAGAAAGACTACACACCTTGGCCAACTCCAGCTCTCTATGCACCAGCTCCAATGGAAGCCTCTCTTCTGTTGTCACTTCTGGTTACAATAGCAGCCCGGCCCTGTCAGGCCAGCTCCGGTCCCCAGAGAGTGTGGTGAGTAGGCAGATGTGGGGAACAATCTCTAGGGGTCAGGACTGTTGAGAGGAGAGTTTTTTAGCAGGACCTCATGCCTCCTCGAGGCCACTGTTGACATAAGTTCTTCCCATGTGCTATGACCTTTGATTAAAACCCTTTAGTTCTGCTTCCCTCTCCCTCTGTGTATTCATTCATAAATGAATGTTTATTATGTATTCACTGTTTTAGGATGGACCCACAGCAGTGAACAAAACTGTTGTTGTTGGGGTTTTTTGGTGCTGAGGATAGAACTCTGGGGCATTCAATTACTGAGCTACACCCCCTTCCCTTTTTTGTATTTTATTTAGAGACAGGGTCTTGCTGAGGGCCTTGCTAAGATGCTGAGGCTGGCTTTGAACTTTCAATCCTCCTGTCTTAGCCTCCTGAGCCACTGGAATTACAGGTGTACACCATACCGCCTGACCAAAACTGTTTTCCTTAAACAGACTGTTAGAGGATAAACAGCTTATTTGCTGGCTAATGTTGCAAGAGGTTATTTGGAAAAGTGATGCTAAGCCAGTACAAAATAGAGGATCTGACCTATTCTGCAAGGTCAATAAAATTATCTGAAGTGAGTGCATTTAGGCTGAGACCAGAAGGCTAAGAAGTAGTTAATATAAACAAAATGGTGCTGGTGTTGGAGAGTTGTTCATCCAGTAAGTGAGGCCTTGAGGAAGGGAGAGTCTGAGGAGCTTAATGGAGGCCACTGTGGCTGGAATATGTAGTGAGATGGAAAAATGACATGAGAAACCCTAGAAAAGGCCAAATCATATAGACTATATTGAGAATTCTGGCCTGTCTCTAATCCATTTGATATTGATACTCCCCCAAAGTGACAAAAAGCTGTTGAATTTAGTGAGGCCCTAACCAACTTAGTGAGATGCTGTCTTGAAATAAAAAATTAAAAGTGCTAGGAGTGTGGCTCAGTGGATTAAAAAAGAAAAAATCCTCTTGAAAACCTTTGTTTAAGTAGGGGAATAGAATGATGGGATCGCAAGAGGAGGAGGCAAGAGCTGCTGTGGGGAGACCCGAAAGAGGCCTGTGGCAAAGTTGGGCTAGAGGTGGTGGTTGCCTGGGTTTAGGGTACTGCCAGTGAAGAAACAGGTGGTGGGTGTAATGGGGAGCACATCTACAGAGCTTGAGTGTCAGAGGAAGTAAGAGACAGGAGTCAAAAATGGCATACAACTTGAGTTGAGCAACTGAAGGTATGATGGTATCAATGATGACAAGGAACACTGGAGGAAGACCAAGTTTTGTGGGGAAGATCATGAATTTGATTTCTCCCTTATTGAGTAGAAGATGTGAGAAATCCAGGTGTAGGAATTAGAATCAAGTGGGCAGTTGGAAATATAGATCTAGATCTAGAGCTCAGAGTAAAACCTGCCTGAGGATAAACATTTGAAATTCACTTTATAAATAAAACTTCACATGGTAAGGATATTAATATTCAAACAACAGCAAAGGACAAGGTTTTAAGTGCCTCTTTCAGTCTCTATTTGCCTTCCCAAAAGCAGTCATCTTATCCCAGTTCAGTTTTTATTTCCAAAGATATATGCAGCTATGTGAACATGACTATCTTTTGTAAAGCACATAATGGAGGCATGCTGTACCCACTTTGTTTCTTTGCTTTTTCCCTTAAAAATATATTTTTATATATCACTGCATATCAGTAAATTTGTTGCTGACTTTTCTTTTTCTTTTTTTGGTGGTACTGGGGATTGACCACAAGGGCATTCTACCACTGAGCCATATCTTTAGTCCTTTTCATTTTTTACTTATTTATTTATTTATTTAGAGTTTTGCTAGGTTTCAAAACTTGGGATCCTCCTGCCTTGGCATCCTGAGTTGCTGGGATTATAGGTGTGTACCACTGTATCTAGCCTGAGTCATTCATTTTTTTAAATTTATTTATTTATTTTAATTAGGTATATATGACAGCAGAATGCATTTTGATTCACTGTACATAATTGCAGCACAACTTTTCATTTCTCTGATTGTACACAATTTAGCGTCACGCCACATGTGCAGTCATACATGTACCTAGGGTAATGATGTCCATCTCATTCCACCATCTTCCTGCCCCCATGCTTCTCCTCCACTCCCTTCCCTTTGTCCAATCACAGTTCCTCCATTTTCCCCCATACCTCCCCTCCCCCATTATGGATTAGCATCCACTTATATAGAGAACACATTCGGCATTTGGTTTTTTGGGATTGGCTTACTTTGCTTAGCATGATATTCTCCAACTCCATCTGTTTACCTGAAAATGCCATGATTTTATTCTCTTTTAATGCTGAATAATATTCCATTGTGTATATACACCACAGTTTCTTTATCCATTCATCTATTGAAGGGCATCTGGGTTGCTTCCAGTTTAACTATCATGAATTGAACTGCTATAAACATTGATGTGGCTGCATTATTATAGTATGCTGATTTTTAAGTCCTTTGGGGATAGAATGAGGAGTGGGATAGCTGAGTCAAATGGTGATTCTATTCCAAGTTTTCTGAGGAATCTCCATACTGCTTTCCAGAGTGATTGTACCAATTTGCAGTCCCACCAGCAATGTATGAGTGTGTCTTTTCTCTCACATCCTCACCAACATTTATTGTTACTTGTATTCTTATAACTGCCACTCTGACTGGCTTGAGATAAAATCTTAGAGTAGTTTTGATTTGCATTTCTCTAATTACTAAAGATGTTGAACATTTTTTCATGTATTTGTTGATCGATTGTATTTCTTCTTCTGAGAATTGTCTGTTCAGCTCTTTAGCCCATTTATTGATTGGGTTGTTTGTTTTTTTTTTTTTTTTTTGGTGCTTAGCTTCCTGAGTTCTTTATATATCTTAGAGATTAGTGCTTTGTCTGACGTGCATGTGGCAAAAATCTGCTGCCCAAATGTAGACTGTGTTCACCTTATTGTTTCTTTGGCTGAGAAGAAGCTTTTTAGTTTGAATCCATCCCATTTATTGATTTTTTATTTTATTTCTTGAGTTTTAGGAGTCTTGTTAAAGAAGTCAGGGCCTAATCCAATGTGATAAAGATTTGGGCCTAATTTTTCCTCTATTAATGAGGCAGAGCCTCTGGTCTAATTCCTAGGTCCGTGATCCACTTTGAGTTGAGTTTTGTGTGTGGTGAGAGAGAGGGGTTTATTTGCTGCATATGGATTTCCAGTTTTCCCAGCACCATTTGTTGAAGAGGCTATCTTTTTTCCAATGATTATTTTTGGCACCTTTGTCTAGTATGAGATAACTGTAGTTATGTGGGTTTGTCTCTGTGTCCTCTATTCTGCACCATTGGTCTATATATCTATTTTGGTGTTCATACCATGCTGTTTTTGTTACTATAGCTTTATAGTATAGTTTAAGGTCTGGTATTGTGATGCCACCTGTTTCACTCTTCTTGCTAAGGATTGCTTTGGCTATTCTGGGTCTCTTATTTTTTCCAAATGAATTTCATGATTGTTTTTTCTATTTCTATAAGGAATGACGTTGGAATTTTAATTGGAATTGCACTGAATCTGTATAGCACTTTGGGTAGTATGGCCATTTTGACAATATTAATTTTGCCTGGGGGCTGGGGATGTGGCTCAAGTGGTAGTGCGCTCGCCTAGCACATGTGAGGCACTGGGTTTGATTCTCAGCACAACATAAAAATGAAATAAAAATATTGTGTCCACCTAAAAAAAATAAAAATAAAAAATAAATATTTTAAAAAATATTAATTTTGCCTATCCAAAAGCATGGGAGATCTTTCCATCTTCTAAGGTTTTCTTCAATTTGTTTCTTTAGTGTTCTGTAGTTTTCATTGTAGAAGTCTTTCACCTCTTTTGCTAAATTGATTCCCAAGTATTTTATTTTATTTTTTGAGGCTAATGAGTCATTCATTTTTAACAGCTGCATAGTGTTTATCTCTTGTTTTTCTTAAAGTTTGATATTTTGTATAGATAATATATTCATATAGTAAAAAAGCAAAAAGATAAACATATGTGAAAGGAAATTGGCACAGGACTACATAGACACACCAAGGACAAAAACAAAAGCAGATTTATTGTCAGGAACCTGTCAGACTCTCTCAGTCAGAGAGAACAGCAATTTCTCTCTCAAGAATTACTTTTAATAGGCCAAGTAAAGGCCGTGGGTTAGGGGCGGGGTTAGCCCTTGTGATTGGCATAGCAAGCGTCACCTGATTTTGGTGAATGCAAGTTTTCATTTCTGAAGACAAAAATAAGCAAGTTTATGTTTCTCAAGGAAGAAATAGCAGTTATTTCTGAAGAACAGAACTTGAGTCATAAAATGGGAGTGGGGAAACGAAGATGGCTGTAGTTATGCCAACAATATGTAGAGGTAGATAGGGAATCCCTATTCTCACTCAACCTAATCCCTTTCCATCCGAGGAAAGCAGTGTAGTTTTTTGGATGGATCCTCCTAGAGATCTTTATACATACTGTTCTTTACCTCCCCCCACCCACCCAGTGTACCTTGGAGTGCTTTCTATTTGAGTATGTGGAGAACTAACTTTTTTCCTCATTTCTTCTTCACACTCCATTGTAGAAATGTACTGTGACTTATTTAACTATTCTTCCAACTTAGGTTATTTTCAGTATTTTGCTGTTATTAATGATGCTGCAGTGAATAACTTTGTGCCTGAATCATTTCATATATGTGCAGATAAACCTGTGGGATAAATTTCCATAAGTAGGTTTGTACAAAGAGTTCATGCATTTGAGAACTGGGGTTGTGGCTCAGTGATAGAGCACTTGCCTAGCATCATGGGTTTGATCCTGAGTACCATATTAAAAAATAAATAAATAAAAGTATTAAAAACACCCCTCAGTCTTCATTAAAAATAAAGAGTTCATGCATATGAAATTTTGATACCTCTTGATAAAGTTACCCTCACAGATACACTAATTTACATTCCCATTAGCAAAGGGTAGGAGTCTGTTTCTCCCTATTCTCTCATCAATTTTTTCAATTCTTTTTTTTTTGTTTGTTCATTGGTTTTGTTTTCCTTGTATAGCTGGGCATTGAACACAGGGCCTCATGTATACTAGGCAAGTGCTCTACCACTGAACTGTATCCCCTGACCTCTTTTTTAAAAACATTTTATGTTTGAGACAGCATCTCTCTATATTGCTGATGCTGGCCTCCAACTTGCAATCCTTCTGCCTTAACCTCTGGAATAGCTGGGATTACTGATGGTGTGCCATGGTGTTCTACAAATGTTTTGTTTTCCCTTAAAAAAATAGTGTCTCATTTTTCTCATATAGGATCTCTTTCATTAAAAAAAAATCTATTTAAATATTTTTCTTTTTTCTGAGCCTCTGTTTATGTCCTTTGCTCCTTGTTTTTTTTCTTACCAATTTTTAAGAGTTCTTTAAATAATAATAAGAATTAACCCTTTGCCTTAAATGAGTTATAGATATTTTTCCCAGTGCTTCACTCTTTATCAACTTTGCTTGTTTTGCTTGGGACCATTCAGAAATATTTATTTATCAGCCAGCTATAGTGGCACATACCTGTAATCCCAGCAACTCAGGAGGCTGACACAGGAGGATTGCAAGTTCAAGGACAGCCTCAACAATTTAGCAAGGCCCTAAGCAAATTAGTGAGACTCTGTCTCAAAAAATAAAAAGGGCTTAAGTTATGGCTCAGTGGATAAGCACCCTTGGGTTTAAAAAAAAGTGTTAAGAAAGATTTATTTATTTATCAACTTTCTTTTTATAGTATTTAAGTTCTCAATAGAAATTCTTTATAACTTTGGAATGGAGAATGTTTCTAATTAAGAATTTCTCCCCTGATTTCTTCTAGAACTGCTGTGGTCTTATTTTTCATATTTAAATCTTTGTTCCATTTATAATTATTTTCACATTTGTTTTGAGGTGTGTATCCAACTTTATTCCTTTGGGTGGCTATCTGCTTGTCCCTGTAGTGATTATTAGGTATTCATCTTAGCCTCACCAGGGTACAGTGTCCCTTTTCCCTGTACTAGGGCTTAGAATGAGTCTACTCTCTGATAGCACCAGTCCTCCCAAGCTCCTACCTTGCCCTTCCTTTCCTGAGATTTTTCAGAATATTTTTCCTTGTCTATTTTCTGTGTGAAATTTAGGATCAGATTTTCTAGTTCAATTAAGAATTTGTTAGTATTTTTATTAAATTTTTTTCACATTGGGGATTAACCATTGAGCTATATCCCTAACCCTTTTTATATTTACTTCTTTTAAATATAGGAAGTCAGGGTCTCACTAAGTTCTTAGGGTCTCACTAAATTGCTGAGGCTAGCCTCAAACTTGTAATCCTGGACTGGGATTGTGACTCAGTAGTGGAGCACTTGCCTGGTATATGTGAGGTACAGGGTTCGATTTTCAGCACCACATACAAATAAATAAAATAAAGGTCCACTGACAACTAAAAAAGATATTAAACAAACAACCCCCCCCCAAAAAAAAAAAAAAAACCCTAACTTGCAATCTTCCTTTTCATTATCCGCCAAGAGAAACCCCATGCCACTCGTCATTTCTCCCCAAACCTACCATTCCCCAACCTTAGGCAACCTCTAATTTATTTTCTGTCTCTACAGAAAGATTTGATTATTCTGGACATTTATTATAAATGGGATCATATGATGACTGGTCTTTTTTCACTGGCTTCTTTCTCTTAGCATAATATTTTTCAGGATTTATTAGTTTCCTAGAATCTCTGTAACAAATTACTGCAAACAGGGTAGCTTAGAACAATAGAAATTTACCCTGTCATAAATTTGGAGGCTACAAGTTTGAAATCATGGTTAGCAACACTAGGCTCCCTCAGAAAGCTCTTGGAGAGAATCTGTTCCATGGTTTTCTCTGAGCTTCTGGTGGTCACCAGCAATCCATGGCATTCTTAGACTTTGTAGCTGCATCTCTACAATCTCTCCCGGTCTTTATATGTTGTTCTCCATGTATGTGTGTCTCCTGTGTCTTCACATGACTTTCTTATAATGTCATTGGATTTAGGGCCTACTCTAATCCAGGATTATCTTGACTACTGAATAAGATTATATTCATAGATACTTGGATTAGAGCTTCAACATATCTTTTTGGAGACAGTAATTCAATCCATAATATGGATGCATTCATTTGTAGCATATATCAAATTTCATTCTTTTTTTTCTGGCCAAATAATCTTGCATTGTATGAACAGACCATACTTTGTTTATCTGTTCATCAATTGATGGACATTAAGGTTGTCTATCAGGTTGTGTCTGTCATTTTGTCACTTATGATTATTGCCGTCATGAACATTCCTGTGGAAGGTTTTTTTTTTTTTTTTTTTTTTTTTWTTTWTTTTTTTTTTTTTTTTTCTTATTTTATTTATTTATTTATTTATTTATTTTTAGAGAGAGAGAGAGAGAGAGAGAGAGGGACAGAGAGAGAGAGAATTTTAACATTTTATTTTATTTTTTCTTAGTTCTCGGCGGACACAACATCTTTGTTGGTATGTGGTGCTGCTGAGGATCGAACCAGGGCCGCAGGCATGCCAGACGAGCGCGCTACCGCTTGAGCCACATCCCCAGCCCCTTGTTTTTTTTTTAAAGATTCGATGCTGGGGACTGGGTTGTGGTCAATGGTAGAGCGCTTGCCTAGCATGTGTGAGGTACTGGGTTTGATTCTCAGCACCACATAAAAATAAATAAAAATAAAGGTCCATTGAGAACTAAGAAAATATTAAAAAAAAGATTCAATGCTGTATTTCTGTTGATGGTAAATCAAAATATGTTTTAGCAATAGCATTAATTTAATGTTTTTTTTTAAATTAACATTTTTTTTTCATTTCTTCTGGGTTTGAATCACTGGATCATAGAACTGCCAGACTATTTTTCAAAGTGGCTGCACTATATGCATTCCTGTCAGCAGTATTTAAGCAGTATATGTTTCTCTACATTTTCGATAACAGTTGGTGTTACTATCTGTCCTTTGTATTTAGAGGTTCCACATCTACAGATTTAACCAATCACAGGTTGAAAACATTTTTTTTTTAAAATGTTGTTATTGATGTGTACCAGCCTAAAGTGGTTATACCTACACTGAACACAGGCTTTTCTTCTCATTGTTCCCTAACAACTATTTACATACTACTTCATGGCATTAGGTGTTATAATAACATAGAGATTATTTAAAGTATTTAGGAAAAAGTGGAGTGTTTGCATGGATTATATGCAAATATTTGTGTTTAAGTGACTTGGACATCCTCAGAAGGTCCTGGAACCAGTTCCTTGCACAAGCTAAGGGATGACTGGTTTTGGTTGTAGCCACCAGAGTGGATGTGACGTGGTACTACATGGTTTTAGTTGCATTTCCCTGATGGCCATTTGTGGATCTTCTTTGGAGATATGTCTATTCAGATCTTTTGCTCATTTTTTTAAAAATTGAAGTTTTGTCTTTGAGTTCTTTATATATTCTAGTAAAAGTCCTTCATCAGGTATAATTTACAAAATTTTCCCCACATGTGTGTTGTCTTTTCGCTGTCCCTTTGCAGCACAAAGTGGGTGTTTGTGTTGTTGTTGTTGTTTGGGATTGAACCCAGAGTGTTCTACTACTGAACAATATCCCCTTTTATTTTTTTATTTGAGACAGGGTCTTACTAAGTTGCTGGCCTAAAACTTGAGATCTTTCTTCCTCAGCCTCCCTAGTTGCTGGGATTACAGGTGTGAGTCACCATGCCCATCTGATAAATATCTCCATAGTATATCAACTAATATTCTCAATTGATAATATGTAACAATATTATCCTACAGTGCCTACCAATACCTACAGTGCCTACCATACTTTGCTTAACAGTATTATCAAGGTTCTTTAGTCTTTACTAATATTATAGTATTTTAGTTACATAGTTCTATTCTTGTGTCTGACATTGTCAATTTTTTATGGTGACTAATTGTACCCTATGTTCATTTTTCTATTTGATTATTGGACTTTTTATTTTTTGTGGCCCTTCTGCATATTAAGAAAATATCCATTTTTGTTATTTGAGCTGCCAGTTGTTTTTCCAGTTGTAAATTTGTTTTTCAAGATATTAATTATTGGACTGGGGGTGTAGCTCAGTGGTAGATTGCTTACTTAGCATGTACGAGGTCCTTGGTTCAATCCTCTCGCCATGTATTTATTTATTTATTTATTTAGAGAGAGAATTTTTTTTAATATTTATTTTTTAGTTTTTGGCGGACACAACATCTTTGTTTGTATGTGGTGCTGAGGATCGAACCCGGGCCGCACACATGCCAGGCGAGCGAGCTACTGCTTGAGCCCCATCCCCAGCCCTATCGCCATGTATTTATTATGTGCAAAAAATTTTGCCCTGTTTAGAAAGGCATTTACCCCCCTCTGTGAATTTTTTAAGTTATATTTTTTATAATAATGTTATACTTCCCCACCCCCAATATATCATTGATCCATAAAGCATAAAGGATTTATTTTGGCATGACCTCTGTTCTTCAGGGGGACTCAAACTTGCCTGATTCCAGAGACACCTGGATAGGGGATGGGCAGGCCCATTCTGCAGTGAGGAACCTGTATTTGGCTGGATCTGTCTGGAAGAATTCAGCTTACCGTGAGTGGCAGGGGGGTGGGGCATAGATATCTGCCTGGTTTGGGGACTTATTTTTGCCTACTGTATCATAGGGAGTCACTGGCCAGAAACTGTCAGTCCAGTGTCCCTATCCCTGATAGGGAGCTGTTGCTGTCATGAGGCCCTGACATTCAGTGCTATCCCAGAACCTCCACCTCTTTATTGTAGGCTATAGAACCTCCTCGGGCAATTGCCGCTGTTTTCCATCCAGCCCATCCAGCTTCTCCTCTTCTTACCAGGATTTGGCCAAACACATGGTAGATACTTCCATGGCTGATGTGAGTATTTGCTCCCACTCTTCAACATCACTGCTTTAGCCAGACCTCTGCTAGGTGGGGAGGAAGAAGAAAAGAGCTGGGCAAATGAGGGCCAGCAAGGCTTGTAGACTTCTTCAGTGGTTTTCCATCTTGAAAAATGTGTATTTATTAAACACTGATCAGAAAGTTGAAACTAGAGGCTGGGATATACTGTGCCTACTAATTTGGTTATGGCCGCTCTGTCCCCAGGTAATGGCTGCTTGTTCCAATAATCTACACAATCTCTTCAGCCGCCAGGCAACAGCTGGCTGGAAGTAAGTTTCTTTGCAGTGTTCTTGATCCTAACCCTGTTGTCCTGCTTGACTTCTCTTCTCCTTCCCCTTCTCCACCTTGCCTTCCTGGAGTCTCTTAACCTGATTTCCTCCTTTGTATCTTAGGAACCCTCTTAAAAAAAAAAAAAAAAAAAACAACTCTTAATTCTTCCTCTTTCCAATCCTTGGTGTCCCTTAGCTATCAGGGTGAAGAGCAGGAGGTGCACCTTTACTATAAGGAGTTTTCTTCTACTCGGCATGGCTTCCTAGGTGCAGGTGTGGTGTCCCAGCCACTATCTCATGTATGGGCAGCTGTGAGTGACCCTACCCTGTGGCCCCTGTATCACAAGCCCATTCAGACAGCAAGGCTACATCAGCGGGTGAACAAGAGCATCAGCCTAGGTGAGCCCAAGGGAGGGAGGCTCCCATGGGGCCTGGTTTCTGGTGTGTCCCATGATCTCTGGCCAGGGGACAGAGGCAGAGGGTTGGAGGCAGCCTTGTTGAGAGACCAGATACTTAGCCTACTTCCAGATTGTTTATCCAAAATTTCATTGGATGTCAAGTCATAGGATGAAGGGGAGGTTCCTATGCTAAAGAAGACTTGGGACTAGATCTGGCAATGGGCCTCCTGACTCTGCTTTACCTCCACCCCTCCAGTGTACTTGGTGTGCGATACCACCGTGTGTGCACTGAAGCAACCACGGGATTTCTGTTGTGTCTGCGTGGAAGCCAAAGAGGTGCCTGCCTTGCTGGTGGTAATCTATGGGAATTGGTTTCTCTGGTGGGGATGAGGGCAAATTGCGGCTGGGTCTAGGTCATGGGTGGCTTCAAGGCAAGCCCCGTTGACTTCTACTATACTAATTACACTTGAGCCTGTTCCTGTTTTTTCCTCATTACATAACATCTCTGTCTGCAGGGGCACCTGTCTATCATGGCAGTTCAGTCTGTATATGACACGTCCATGCCAAGACCCAACAGAAAAATGGTCCGAGGGGAAATACTGCCCAGTGCCTGGATCCTGCAGCCTGTCACCATGGAAGGGAAAGAAATTACCAGAGTCATTTACTTGGCACAGGTGATATAGAGCTAGTAGCCAGCCTTGTAACATACTTGGGACCTCTCTGTCTAGCTGTGTTCTAAAAAAATGTGGCCAGGAACTTCTTGGGTTCAAAGTAAAGGAGTCAGTGGAGAATCAAAGAGGAAGGAATGAGTGTTGTTAGCTGAAGTTGCTAGTACCAGAGTCTCGTAGTAACCTACATCTTGTGGTTGTCCCCAGGGTCCTTAGAATACATATCATTGCAAGGTAAAAGCAGCAGCCTCAGCAGAGCAAAATCATTGTTCATAGATAGAGTTCAAGTCGAACTCTATCAGTGGGAGGTGAAGAGCAGAGCCCAGGGGTCTTAGACACCAAGCCAGTGGAGTCTGGGGTGAATCTCCCATCACCTCGTCCCAGGTGCTTGGGGCTAGAGTGGCCCTGGCACCTCCAGCTGTTTGTACTTCATCTCTTCCCCTTCTGCTTTCAGGTAGAACTGGGTGCACCAGGCTTCCCGCCTCATCTCCTGAGCTCCTTCATTAAGCAGCAACCACTGGTTGTGGCCAGGCTAGCTTCCTTCCTTGGTAGTTAGCACCACACCAGTGAGATGGTGCTGCTGAGATGCAGGCCCAGGATGCTCCAGAAATGCTATGGCTGCTCCTCCTTAACTGTTAGCAACCTGAGATGAGAAGAAACTGAGGCTACCTGTAGTGGCAGACTACACAGACAGCACTAGCCCAGGGTTGCCAGGAAAGCCCTGTCTCAGTACTCAAGTCACCTCTGCAGAACAAGAAGCCTGAGCTCCTGGCCCTTGCTGTCCAGAGAGAATGAAGCTCAACTCACTTTTTGGATTTCTCACCTTTATTTCTCATTTCTGGGACTATGACACAGGCCTCTCAAGGACCAGAGTTGGGCATAATCAGCAGAGCTGGGGAACTGCAGGGCTTTGGCAAGATGCCTTCTTAGTTCGGCCCAGCCCTCAGGTTGATGGGAAGGCAAGCAGCCACTGGCCAAGACTCCACTCTGGAGCTGCCTCCAGTGTTCAGCTCCACCGTATAGAATATCACAAAGGACCAGAACAGAAAAAAGGCTTAAAAAATCAGCTGCACAAATCACAACACAGACTCAGAATCTTTTCTCCAAATACTATTCATTTTTGCTTTTTCCCCCTTCCCTTTCCTAGGAGAGGATATTTGGGTCTTTGCAGCAGTCAGGAGTGTTAAGCACTGCTGCTTCAGAGCACTTCAGGGTTCAGGAAGATGGGAGAGCAGCGTAGACACAGCCTGGACAGATTTCAGGTTGGGATGTGGGCCCTGGCCCTTTGAGGACTGGTGGTGGGTGGGGGTAGCCAGATGATTGCTACTGACAAGGCAAGAGGGATTTCAATGAGATTAAAAAATGACCTCTGAAGAAGGAAGATAAATGAACTGGAAGAGGAGGTAAGCAATTTGTCAGGAGGAAACTTGATTGCAGAGACCTTCCCTTCCCTTACCCAGAGGTGAGTCCCTTGAGCTACTGCTCTGGCCCTACCAATTCTAGGATGGATGAAGGGTGGATTCAGTTTTCTTGTAACTTAGCCTGGCTGAATTTGAGCTCTGAAGATTCTGTATGTTTACCTAGAGGTGACAGGGACGGGAGAAATTCCCATTTAATTTTCTTGCCCCAAATCTTTGGTAAAAGAGGATAATTGTATGGGGATTGAGATGTGGTTAAAAGGGTAAATTTCTGTACAGTGCAGCAAAGAGTTGCTTTTCTGAAAATGTTTGTAGGGTTTCCTTTTTCTCTTACCTCAGATTAAGTTATATTGTTTTTATAATATGCTTTTAAGCTTATTTTTCAGTTATTTTATTTAACAGCGTAAATATGTAGGACCCTAATTTATGTATTCTTCCCCTCTTCCTAAAATTGTTGACCAAAAAAATGGTCAGAACATTTGTAAATTAAAAGTCCCACGCAGGGGCGCTGGGGTTGTGGCTCAGTAATAGAGCACTCACTTAGCACATGAAGGGTGCTGGGTTCAACTCAGTACCACATAAAAATCAAAGAAAGGTATTGTGTCCAACTACAACAAAATATTTAAAAATTAAAAAAAAAAAGTCCCATGCGGAGCCAGGAACCAGTAACACACCTGTAATCCCAGCAGTTTGGGAGGCTGAGGCAGAAGGATTGCAACGCCAGCCTCAGCAACTTAGTGAGACCATCTTTAAAAATAAAAATAAATCCCATGTGGGAGGCATGGTTCAGTGGTATGCTCTGTGCCTAGTGTGGATGGATGAAGTGTCCTAAGTTTGATCTCCAGTACCAAAAATCAAAACCACTTTTTCAAATTCCCAAGCATTCAGAAAAGACTAGACTTCCCATGGCTTGGGAGGCTAAGGCAAGGCTCTAAAGCAACTTAGTGAAAAAAAAAAAGAAGAGATTAGGAAAGAAGGTTCAGATAAAGAAACTTTAAAGTAGTGAATGGGATAAGCCTGATGGGGAGGGAAAGGTATGGACTGATAAACAATATCGGGGAGAAATAGGACTGAGAAACACTCCTATTTTTCAATGTTGATGTGACTTCCCTGTTTTGTACATGGGGCTCCCTCTAACCCAGAGAATCTTACCCTTTCTGATAGCTACGAATTTTTCCCCTAAGAGATGTTGGAAAGCCACTTAGCAAGAACTAAATCCCCTCTCCTTCCCCCAGCAGAGCCTGAGTGTTACTTCCCAGGAATTAACTTAATGCATATTATCAAAGTTTATAATTATCAAGACCACATCTCTTATAAAACGAACTTTTACAATTATAAAAGGCTGCTCGTGCTCTGAGACATTCTGAGCCAAATCAGACACTATAGCCCTAACAAAACAACATCGAAAAAGCTGCCTCACCATGTGGTGCAATGGAACATCTTGTGAATGGAACCTGCACAATGCCCTAAATGTCTAAACTTTCCGAGGGAGTTGCACAGGAGATGATACTGCATTTCAGGGGTGTGAGATGATCTTGCTGCTTGAATATGCAGGAGTTACTTAGAGATCATAACTCCCAACTCAAGGCCCACCTGCCAAAGGGGAAAAACAGGCAAGAACAGTCATCAAACCTTTGTTAAAACAGTTTATTCTTTTTTGCTTCCCTGTGCATGTCCACGAACAGACCAAGTCTGAAGTGTCACTACCTGCACAGGGGTGATGCCAGGGTGATGCCAGGTTTCAGTTGGGCAAGTCCTACCTAATCTGTTGTGCATATTTAACATGGCAGTCCAGGTTTTAACTTAACAAGTTAGGCAGAAGTCATTCAACTCTGTCATGATTTCTCAGAACCACAAAGTTTTGAGAGATCTGAGATAGCAGCAAGTGAGGTCTGAATTCTGTATTGACCAGCCCACACTCCTCATTTCATTTCGCATCCATGTGGCAAATGTCAGCTCTTCAGCTCCTGGGTTAGAATCTCAGCTTTTCCACCTTCATGCTGAATTAGTGGCTGTTTCTTCCTCTAGGATTCGGGTGGCAAGCCTGCAGTCTGTGGGATGCCCAGTAACCACATACTTCTCACCTGAGCAGGAAATCTGATCACAGACCTGGCTACTCCTACCCCAGCAAGGGTTGCCGAGGGCTCTTGGGGCTCCACCTGAGGCACAGGCAGGATTCCAGGGTTCTGGTGAGACGCCCAAAACAGGGCCACTTCCCAGCCCTAGCTTTGGGCCAGCACTGTCCCCCTATTTGGCTGTACCAGTTCACAAGTTCTCCGCTGAGGTTCTGGCATGTGGGGCTCAGCTAGAAACAGGTTAAACAGTGTTGCTAGTTCTTCGGAGAAGTCCTGCAGTACGTAGAAAGGTGCGAGAAAAGGCAGACATGGAATTCTGGACACATCCACCCTTTCTAAAGATCGGTCTCTAGCTAATTGGTGAGTAGACAACAACCTGGTGCACAGCTGATGTTTCATCTTGAAATTATTAGTTCTGTTTCTTTTTTTGGGGGGGAGGGGGCGGTGGGAGTACCAGGGATTGAATTCATTGAGCCACATCCCCAGCCCTGTTTTATATTTTAGTTAGAGGCAGGGGCTTAGTGCTTTGCTTTTTACTGAGGCTGGCTTTGAACTCACGATCCTCCCGCTTCAGCCTCTCAGGCCACTGGGATTACAGGAGTATGCCACCATGCCCAGCATTATTTTAAGGATGAAAAAAACATTAACTATTAACTGAGTCCAGGTTATTCTGATGAGAAAGACCTATATATACTGTACCATCCTGCTTTCCACCTGCCTGCCTTCCCTCACAACAAGTCCCTCATACAGCGGCCAGCGGCCACTCAGATCTGAAGAAGGTCAACTATAACAGCTATTCCTCAATTATAGGGTTGTCCTGAAGACACTTTACAGATATCCACTTAGCTTTGGTTCCATCACTTTGCCCCATTTCAGGATAAATGGGATATAGGACACCTGATATCTTTATTTAAAACAAGGGATGAGGACTTCTTACCCCAGGCCACTGGGCCTCATGAAGGCTGCCTAGGCAGGCTTCTATCTCCATCCGTCCCATCAGACCTTTCTCTACCAGCTCCCGAAGTAAGAACAGCAGCAGGTCCCACTGCAAAACACCATGGGGAAGCTCAGCATTTCGAGGACTGTATAGTTACCCTGATTAGTACAAACTGAGATCTAAAGGGCAGAGCTGCTGAGAAATGGAGGCTCGAGACAAGCATAGGGCGTCCCATTTCAACATGGAATAGGAATAAAGGAAACAAATTCACTCCACAAACTTTATCCTAAAGAATTAAAGTCAGCATACTATAGCAATACATGTACATTTATAGTATCACAATAGCCAAACTATGGAGCCAGCCTGTATGATCATCAATGAATGAATAGATAAATATGTGATACACACACAGTGGTGTCTATTCAACCATAAAAAGGTTGCAGGAAAATGGATGGAACTTGAGAATGTTATATCAAATGACTATAACGTTCTCAACTCAGAAAAGTCAAGAGTTGTGTTTTTTCTCATATGTGGAAGCTAGAGAGGGAAAAGAAAAGTTGGTGGGGTAGGAAAATCCCATGAAAATCAAAGAGATCAGTAAAGGGACCAGGGGGAAGGAAGGAAAGAGGAAATACAGGGGAATGATATTGGCCAAATTAAATTGTTACATTGTATGCATGTATGAATATGGAAGAGTGATTTCCACCATTCTGTAAACTATAATGCACCAATAAAAAATATGCAAGAAAAGGAAAGGAAAAAACAGCTCCCTAATACTATCAAAATAAGACTACAGAAGACTAAGAAGCTTTCCTATTCTCACCAGGCCTAATCCCAGAAACTCGGGAGACTGAGGCAGGATGACTGTAAGTTGGAGGCCAGCCTCAGCAATTTAGCTAGACCCTGTCTCAAAAGGACTGGGGATATAGCTAAAGCAGCCATGGGTTCAATCTTCAGTACAAAAAAAAAAAAAGCTTTCCTACCTGCTACTTCTGACTCACCTCCCTTGGCCGAGTATCTGCCAGAAGCCCCACATTTCTCGGGCTCAGTAGCAGCTGTAGTGGAACTGGACCTTGGAAGTCATCTTTCCACAGGGAAAGCAGCATGTGCAGAAGCCTTCGAGCCTGCCCTCGCTCCAGTCTGTGCTGTGGTGGAGGCCCTAGGACAGGGATCTGGTCTGCAACTATGGGACATGATGGAAGCCAAATTTTTTAAAAATAGAGGCAGAAAAGAGATATGTCTAATCCTGCTTATACCCAACCTTGATTTTGAGGGGATATAGCAAGAGAGAAGGGGTTTGACAGAAAGGAACCATACCCAGGAGGGAAGCTAACTCCACAGAGCACTTTGCCAGATGCTGCTCAGCAGGTGGGCACAGGAACTGAGAGAAAAAGGGAGACATGAACGTCATCCTTACTGCTGTGAAGACTGTCCCTGGGACAGTGTGGCTCTACTTATAAGGCAACAGAAGACCATTCTTCATGTAGTACATGACATGTCTCACCTGACGGCACCGTAGTGTCTGGCCCATCTGGCCTAGGAGCTGCTCCAGATGCTCTGGGGAAACACCCTCATCAGGGTCTCGGGGCCCAGCAGCCAGAGAGAGCACATCCTGCAGAGAACAGGATAAGACCTCATGCCAGGCTGGGACTAGGCTGTCAGAGAATTTGGATTGGGGTGGGGACCAGCCAGTAGAGTGAATGAGAAGGAAAAGGAAAATCTGGTCCTGGGGGTGAAGCATCTGGACCAAGAGATCCCTGGAGCTGGGTTTCAGGTAGGATAATAAGCTAGGAGAAGCAACCATGTGGGTAACCCAAGAGGAAACAGATGAAGCAGATAAGCCAAAGGACAATGGGCTACCACAGAGCTTAAGAGACATTTTTCAACATGGGTCAAAACTAACCAACTCCTAGGGGGCATCTTACAGTGTTTTGGGAAACTGTCCCATGAGATACACAGTCTGAATGTTTTCTAACCCTCATGCTTCCATTTTCTCAGTGAGGTTTCAATACAAAAATCTGCCTACTGATAACCAGTATTTAGTGGTCATATGTCTTTTCCTCTCTCCCCTACATACTCTCCATTGTTAGTCACTGCTTCTTTGTCCTTATTCCACATCTTATTCCTTGAGCAAGGCCAGATAGTAAATACATTAGGTTTGCAAGTCATAAGATCTCTGTTCTAACTACTATGCCATTTTAACACAAAAGCAACACGGACATTTGGTAAACAAATGGCTATAGCTGTGTTCCAATAAAACTTTATTTGCAA